CGGGATGACTGTGGTCCCTCTTCCTGGAGGCCTTCTAGGGGCAGCTGTCTCTTCTGATGGAGGACTGAGGTTAGCTAAATGGAGGGTTAGTTTTATTTATGGCACTTGGATCTGCCATCCTAACACTTGCCCATCTCTCCCAGACAGACATTTCAGGGGTGTGGAGCATTTTCTGTAAATCACATTTGTAAGCTTGCTTCTGGTTTTAGTTCTAGAATCCATTTTTATTTAAAAACACAGATATTTTTGAAAAACTTTTAAATAAAGAAAATGAGGACAGTAAAAAATAATCTCATTCTACCAACTTCCCAGAGAAAATAATGTCTCTCTCCTTCCTTCCTTCCTTCCTTCCTTCCTTCCTTCCTTCCTTCCTTCCTTTTTTCCTTCCATGAATTACTAAGTTACAAGATATTTGTGATTGACTTTCAGGCATACGGTGTTCCAGCAAAAATCCCTCCACACATGTCCCCAGTTTCCCTTCTTGCCCCCCAGCCTGCCTTTGTGACAGGCACATTACTCCTCTGCAGTTGTCTGGGGTTTCCTTCCCCAACTTATCTTCCCCTCCCCGCCCTTGTCCTGCATTCTCCCTTTTTTTCTCTTCTTTCATTCCTACTCCATCCACAAGGAAGGCTGATAATGTTTTGTGACCACTATCTTGAGGGAAGCCTCTCCCTGGCAGAGCTCAGGAAGGGTGACTTCTAGCTGTACCGAGCCTGGAGGTAATGGGAAGGTAGGTGCAGGTGATACCAGGGATTAAACTTGAAACCTTAGTTGAGACAAGACATGTGCTTCACTCCTTTGAGTTATCTCCCCAGTCTATGAACTTGCTATATTTTCCACATGGAAATCTATGACACTTTATTTTTTTTTCCCCTGTGGGGTGAGGGTGCTCCCAGGCAGTGCTAGAAGACCCAAGGCTGTTCCTGGTTATACTTAGTCGAGATGAACAGCTCAATATTCAGGCCTGGCCATGTTGTACTGCATGAGCCTAACAATGCTGGGCCCCACCAGAGTCACCCCAGAGGTGTGAGAGGCATCCAGGGCTTGCACCCAGCAGTCATATGGGACATGCAATACTGTGGGCAAAACTAAGGTTCTTGTGCTGAAAATTTCTCCCCAGCCTAAAGTTTTCTTATTTGTCAATAAATCTCATTCAGTGTCATTTAGCTACATAAGATCCTGTCAGAGAGCATAGCACTCTTTCTGTAACCTTTCTCAGACATCTGCAGTTGAATATTCACAGCTATTTTCCCCCTTGGTTTTTGTTTTCTGTTGTTGTTGTTATAAAACTCAGTTTGACAGTCTTGGGCAGGGTTCTTGGATAACTGACCAAGTGGGATAGACAGAGGCAGAGATGCGGGAAGAGAGTGTTTTGGAGGTGACACTCCAGTGGCTGTTCTGCCATGATGAAGGCCTGACTACCCCTGTCAAGGACTGACAGAAGGAGAATGAGATTACTCTTCGCTTATTCCTTGTCTTATGTTCAGTTGCTTTGAGAACTTGACAGCAGTTTAGAATCTCTCTGAGCTTGTCCTCAGAAACCCAGGGTCTCTGAGTCTTGTGGTCTCAGCCAGAGCTGTCTGAGGCTTGTGGTCTCTAGTGTGGGAGTTTCAAGGCTGAGGCAAAGGGCACATGTACAGATATTCATGATATCTCAGGCTCAGAAGTTTCTGTCTTTTTCTGTACACATAACTTCATTTGAATCCCTGAAGGAAATGGTCAATAGGGTTTACTTTTCCTAAGAGTAGAAGAAAAATGTCAAGCTTGTAAAGCAGAGGTTCCCAAACTTGTTAGATTGATCACCCCCATTTCAGGAAAACAATCTCTCAGTGCTTCCCTGGACATCTGCTGTTTTTAAGCAGATAAGCAGAAAGCATACTCCAACTGCACCTGAAGCTACTATGCCTTCCACCTCCAATCATTTCAGTACTTCACAGGGGGCCTGGCTTAGTGTTAGAGACCCCTAGATTTTCCTTGTGGGGTGCTGACCTGCTGTGCCCAGTTCGCAGTCCCGAGGACACTGAGCTTTGGCTCAGTGAACTCACATGCCATCTGGACATGCTGTCACCTCATGATAGGAGCCAACAGGAGTGAATTCCTATTCTGAATAGGGGATTTTCCTCTCTACATTAAATTACTCCTCGTGAGTCCTGAGTAGAAAATCGACAATGTCTTTGTTTGCTTTATGCTTGCCATAATTATCTGTTCTGTCTTTATGTTTTCATGTATACAAACACACACACATATATTATATATATACATATATACATAATTTGCTTTGAGGGTAACACCCAGCAATGCTCAAGGGCTATTCATGTCTTTGCTGAAGAATCATAGCTCAACCTCCTCCATGAAAAGCATGTGTTCTAGCCCACTGGGCTCTTTTCCAGTGCCTGTCTGTTCTGACTCATACTCCAGATCAGTTCGGCAACACATTGTATGTTTTGACTTGGAAACTGGGATTAACTGAAGTTCTTGTGCTCCATCTAATTTCTAGCTGCTGTAGGGTCTGAACCCCAGATCTCCTCCAACATGATAAGATTCAGGAGAGCTGATTTCCTGCCCACATCGGGCGCTGGTGCTTGAGAGGTGGAGTCCTGGAAAAATTTCGTTCAGGCACTGGTCATTGCTTCACCCCCAGGGAAGACTCTCTTTTGTAAAAATGTCTCAGGTATCAATTAGGGTGTGAATAGTTCACTGTGTCCTGAGCAGCATGTGGGGAGGCTTAGGTCAGACTCTGCACATCTCACAAATATTTGCTTACGAGGGACCACAGGACAGGTCTGAAGCATGCAGGCACGTGTGAACCTGTAGTGACAGACAAATGTTTATCAACAACCACTTCTGCCTTGAGCCCAGTGGGAAGCAGGAAGGGCTGTTTCTATGATGAGATTTCCATGTGGATGCACCCTTCCTGCTAGAGGGCCTGGCACTTACCCCCACCACCTCCATTCCCTCCAGTCTGTGCTGCTTTCTGGGGTGACACTCATCAGCACCCATTGAGTATTTGCTGCTGCATGTGAGTGCCAGCCAGGATGAAAAGTGTAGCTCAATACTTAAAAGAGAGTAGATGTCACTGGGGCCCTGGGATCATCCACCCCTGTCTCTCTGGTCTCGTGGTAGTGTATCCCTGGATGAGGAGATATGCCGGCACCCCAGGAGGGCTTGATAGCTGGAACTAGAGCAGGCCTGGATGTTAGGTCTATGGCCTCGTTGTGAGTAATGCCATGCTGGACACCAGGAAGAATGCTATGAATGCAGTATGACCCCAGGTGGTGAATCTCCACCCCTTGACCCCCTCTGGCATCTTCTAGGGCACATTAACTTTCCTGAAGACCCCCTGGCTTGGGCCTGGGTGCAGAGTGTCTGTGTCTGAGCAGTAGCCTCTTCCAAGGCTGTTTTGGAATAGAGTGGGGGCATGTGGTGTGGGGTGCTCAGCACTGATGTTACAGGATCTAACTGACCTTGGCTTATAAGTACCCTCTTGGGCTCTGCCTTCCTTCTTTGTGAAATGGGGGACAGTGAACAGCCTGTCCTCAGGGTATTTGTAGGCTAGAAAGGAAAGGGGTATGAAAGGCACCCTTGTCCTTTGCTGGGTAGCTGCCCTTCTGGGAATGGAACACTAAAGGTGGCCTCAGAGGAAGGTCCTCTTAGCTTCACAGGCTCCTGAACCTCTGACCAGCACTGCTGTCATCTTTCTAAAGAAAAGTAGTGGTGTTCCATTCTTGGGAGCACAGTCTGCCCCCATGAGGACTCCTGGCTGAAAGGGCCGCTTCCTAGGGTTGTGATTGAGGATCCTGTCATCTTACCTGGGTTACCTGGGGTGCTCTCAGCACGATGACAACATGCAGCCACATGGTGTCTTTGTTCATCCCCCATGTCCTCTGCTGGCTTGTGTCTGGGGTGTGTGGGCTGCTTATGTCAGTTCTATGCCTCTCCCTCACTGCCCAGTTGGTTCCTACAAATCCTCTTACCCAAGTGCCTTTCTGGGCTGCTCTGCTTGGGTCTTATTTGAGCAGACACACCCAGCTCCTTCCTGCACATTCCTGGCTTCCTTCAGCCCCACATGTTAGCCTGAATGGAGGCTGGGGGAGTCTGTGAAGCTCTGTGGTGTGCAGCCCCTTCTCCTGCTTGGACCCTCATCTGAATTAAGAAACCTATTGTGGACTGGGAAGTGACTTAGTCACAGAGTATTCTCCTCAGACCTGAATTTGCATGAGACCTGGTTTTGATTCCTGGCACTGCAGACAAAAGCAACACACACACACACACACACACACACACACACACACACACACACACACAGAGCACTGTGCACTGTGACCCAGTGATAAAAAGGCAGTGTCCCTCTGTGTCTACACACACAATAATGAGATGGTCTTCTCTCCCTTCCCTCTTTTGTGTCCTGTGGTTGTGGTTGGTTGGAAACCCAGTTAGGATTTTCCCAGAGATGGGCAATGGGAAAACATTGCTGACTTGGGGGATAGTGGGCCTGAAGGCAGAGGGTGCCTCTGGTGTCCTCAGTCTGTGGGAGTCTGTCAGGCTGAAACAACCCCAGCCCCTGAGGGCTTCCAGTCAGGACCCTGGGCCCACTGGAAGGAGTTGGGTGTTCCCTCTTGTCTTGGTCCTGAGGAAAGAATATGCATGGATCCAGTTTGCTTACCATGCTTGAATCTTGTCTGACCCTTGGTGGATGGCAGACTTTGGGATTGCCCCTTGCTTCCTTGGCCTCATGCTTTGTGCAGGGTGGCCATGAGGTCCTGGGGAGGAAATGCATGCTGACATGGCACCCACTCCTCAAGCATCCTTCCCATTGCCCCGTGGCATGAGGAAACAGTCTGTGTTGAGGCTGGGTCCTCCTGCTCTCTCCTTTCCATCAGCATGGGTCCAAAGGGGGAGGACAGTGGGCAAACCAAACAGCTAATCACCTTTGCCCAGAGTTTGGGGTTCATTGACTCTTAGTGTGAGCCTCTGCCCTGACATGGCCTTTTCTCTTTCAGCTCTAAAGCACCACTGCCATGTTGGGAGATGCCATACTGGTGGCTAAAGGCCTGGCCAAGCTGACTCAGGCTGCTGTGGAGACACACTTGCAGCACCTGGGCCTCAGTGGGGAGCTCGTCATGGCTGCTAGGGTCCTGCAGTCCACAGCTGTGGAGCAGATGGGCATGGTCTTGGGGGCAGTTCAGGTAAGGTGGGGAGCAGCTACTGTGTATGTGAATTGGAGCTCTTGGTGTGACCCAGGATATATCCAGGGGCAAGAGCACCTGGATAGTCTAACTTGCTGCCCATGTGGGTGGGCTGAGGTCCCTATGTGCCTGCTGTTGTGTGACTCAGATTGTGGTGATCGGAAACTTCACAGAACTTCGAAGCCCTGAGCTGAGGCCCAGTCTGTGAGTCAGGATGCTGAGGAAATGGTACTTTCTGAGCACTGAGGCCTTCAGGGGAGAGACAGGGCTGGTCAGAACCCAAGACAGTCCCTCTTCCAGCCTCCATTTAGTCCTGGACCTAAGCAGGGATCTTTTTAATTTTGGAAACTTGAAAAAAAAAAAAACCACAACAAGAAAGGGAGCAGTTGCTTGAGGGCAGCTGGAAGGACCACTGTAATGCTTCCTTCTCAGGCAGTTTCTCTGGAAGAAGTTGCTCTTCTAATTTTAGCCTCCTGGCCCTGACTATCCCCATTTGGCTGATTGTGGGAGCCCTATTTTGAGATAGGAAGTAACAGAGAGGGGTCGGGGAATAACTCAAGGTCATTCCAGGATTTGGACTCAGAACCTGAGCCCACAGGTCAGGTCTTAGATCAGGAAACCCCGGGCATGTGGGTGTGTGCGTGCACCTGCACTTCTGCTTCCAAGGATAGCCTCATTAGTTCTGGTGGAGGCAAGTCCTCCAGAGTCTTTTATTTAAAATGTTTTGATTTTTGGGCTACACCAGTGGTGATCAGAGCTTATTCTTGGCTCTGTGCTCAGGGATCACTCCTAGAGGGCTTGGGAACCATGGGATTTTGGGGATCAAGCCCAGGTTGGTCACATAAAGCAAATGTGCCATTCCAGAGTCTTTTAAATGGATGCCCCTGGCTGGCCCAGAGCCCTGGCAGGAGTGGGCTGGTCATAGCTGTGCTGCCTTCTCTGGTGCTTGGTTGCATTTTTTATTTATCCTGGTCTTGTGCCCTGACCCACCTTCCTGAAACTCCAAGGCCCTTTTGTGCTGGTTCCAGTGTGTGGGCAAGAAGTTTGTGCTAGAGCAGTGGCTGCGGTCTGACTCTGCTCCTGCAGGTGCTCAGGCCATGAGGGCCTGGCTCGCCTTTTCTGTAGAGCAGATGCAGAACTGGAATTGGAGTTTCTGGCCTTGACCAGGGAAGTACACTGACCCTTTGGAACTGACCTCTGGAATGGGTCTTCGGCTGGGGAGTGGTGTGGTAACCCGTGGTGCGTGTACTGCCTGGGCTTGCTTCTTGGTTTTGCTCATACCAGTTTTTGTTCCCTACAGCGTCAAGATAAGAATGAAGAGCCCCACACTGAGAGCTTTGATGACCCAGAAGCAGAATTCCACTTCTCAGGCTCTGGAGCCCCAGGAACCTCCAATGACTTCTCTGCAGCCTCATCCCCTGACCAGTCTGTGGGCGCAACCCTGGATCACGCCCTTAGGGAGGGTCCAGATTCCACCTATGTTGCTAGTGGACCCTTCAGGGATGCTGGGCTCATGGGCCAGGCCTCATCCCCTCTTGGCAGGATGAATGCAAGGCTCTTTGTAGACCTCAGACACCCACTGTCTGCTGGTGGCCTGCAACGAAGGTTCTTCCACCAGGACCAGTCCCCGGCAGGGGGCCTTACTGCCAAGGACATTGAGAAGGCACGTCAGGCCAAGGCCCGCCCTGAGAGCAAGCCCCACAAACAGATGGTGCGTCGGGGAAGGCCCCTTGGGTGGGGATGGGGTGGGTTCCCCTCAGCATGGGCACATCCTCCAAGAGGAACTGAGTGCCTCTTCTTATGGAGTGTGCTGCCAAGAGAGTTGCAGCATTTAGGGGTGGAGGGAGCTCTAGGTGTAGCCAGAACCCTGCATGTTGGTTCTGTCCCAATTGCTAATTCTGAGGCCCTGCTCTTCTTTAGCTCAGTGAGCGTGCACGGGAGCGGAAGGTGCCAGTGACCAGGATTGGGCGATTGGCCAACTTTGGAGGTACGGTGTTGTGGGGGTCTTGTGTCAACCCCTCCTACTTGGGCCTTTCTTGTCTCCTGGAGCCTGCATGAAGGGGGAGAAGGGGCAGCCAGAGGTGTCCTGTGGGGGGTGAGCTGCAGTGCATGAAGTTTTCCTGCTCATTTTCCTCGGGGAGATGTTCTGGCCTCAGCTCCCTCCGGGGTGGCTGATACTCTGCTCTCCTTCCACATTTGGGAGCAGACAGTGTCTGCAATAGTGGGGGCAGAGCACGGCTTGGTGTGTGCTCACAGGATCTCGCTTTCAGTGTGCCTGTGCAGCCTTGCCCTCCCCTGCTTTGGGAGGGGCACTGGGGCAGTTGCCCTCGTCTCTGTTTACATTCACACGGGGAAGCTGGGTCAGAGGCCCAGATGCCAGTTGCCTCAGCCTTGTGGTCCTGTAGCTTGGCTGGGCCTCAGCTTTGGTACAGCAGGAGCCAGAGCCAGAGCCTATCATCAGCGCCCTTTCCTCCCCACTTGCCCAGTTCTGGGCATGGAGGGCAAGACCTTGAGAACCTAGAGCAAACTGGAGGGCCATTCCATTTGACTTGGTGTGCTGGGGATGCAACTTCTTCTCCAGGCTTCTCTCTTCTCCCAGGGCTGGGTGGTGGAGGGTACAGTAGAGAGTAGAGGACAGAGGGCCCTTCTGGTCTGTTTGGGGCAGCTCTGGGGAGTTGAGAGCAGAGGCAGTGTGAGTAGGGGCTGTTTCCCCTGGAGTTCCCTGCTCCTTGCTCCATCTCACACTGGGCATCTGACAGGGAGAGGCTGGCCCCGAGGTATGCCGAGTGGCTTCTTCCTGCCCCTTGGCTTATTTCACCAAGCCTCCCTCCCAGCGAAGACTTATTGGTTGGAATGTGTGTTTTTTTTTTTGTTTTGTTTTCCCATGGCCCACTCTGAGTTCTTACACCCCAGAGATCCTTTTCAAAGGAAGCCACTGGATCTGGGTTTGTCCTGGTGCTCAGGCCCATAGCCCAGCCCCAGGCCTAGCAGCTGTTAGCCTTGGAAGAGCCCCACTCTCCGCCCTTCCCCTTTGCTCTCTCACCTGCAAAAACCCTGCTTGTGAGAGGAAACACTGGGAGCTACCTTGCAAGGGGCCTCTGCCTTCTTGTGGCAGCTTCTGGGGCTGATTTTCTTCCAGGATATCCTGGCTCAGAAGGTCAGGACTCAGAGAGGCAGTGCTGTCCTGGGACTGTGGGCATGAGGGCCATGGCCCACCTCATGAGCATGCACCCAGTCTCAGGGTGTCCTCTGAGATGGAAGCTCAGGGCCCACTTGCACGGGGTCCACCTTGCCCTCCCTGAGGAGTTCTAGGAATGTTCTCAGCCACACTCTCCTGCCAGTTTGCTCAGTACAGCAGGAGCTGCTCAGGCCAAGGTCAGGGCCAGCATTTGCCACCTGGGTTGCAAGGGAAAGCCCAGCAGTTGGCAGCACATCCGGTCTGGTATTGGCTGGTCCTCAGGGAGCTTGTGAGGCCACAGAGGGAACCCGAGGCCACTTTTGTGGAATGTTCTTTCAGTGCTTTGTTTAATGACAGGTCTTTGATCCTGACAAACTTTAACTGTGCCAAACAGCCTAAAAATTGTTGTGGAACATCTGCAAATGGCCAGAGCAGATATCTGAGGGGGCCAGCTATGGGGTTTCTGACTTCAGGAGGGGCTCAGTAGGGCTCACAAGGAAGGAGAACTTTTGACACTATCTGATCTTTGATGGTTTGTCTTTGGAGTTGATTCTGGCTGTGAAAACTCTAGGTTCAAAGAGAAAATGTGAAGGCTACAGTTGGAAAGTTCTCAGTGACTTTGCCAAGTCAGAGTGCAGGTTAGGGCAGCAGTGGGCAGACTGAGAGGAGTTAATGTTTAATCAGAGACTGACTCCCAGCTCTTTGCCTGGTGCAGGCCATGGTAGAGTAGGGGTACAGTGGGTACAGATCCAGATCCAAGGCTTTTAGTTTTCCCCCATTGACAATCATGCTTGTGGTAGGTAGCTTTGACGATATTGAGGAAAGTTCCTTCAGTGCCCATTTTGGTGAGAGATTTCATCATAAACGGGGTGCTGAATCTTGTCAAATGCTTTCTCTGCGTCTGTTGATATGATCATATATGTTTTTTATCTTTTCTTTTATTGATATGATGGATTATGTTGATTGGCCTGTGAATCTTATACCATCCTTGCACCCCTGGGATGAATCCTACTTGGTCATAGTTTATGATCTTTTTGTTGGATTCTGTTTGCTAGGATTTTGTTAAGGATCTTTGTGCCTGTGTTCATTAGGGATATTAGCCTGTAATTCTCTTTCTTTGTGATGTCTCTGGCTGCTTTTGGTATCACCTTAATATTTGCTTCATAGAAACTGAGAGTGTTTCTTCAATTTTCTGGAAAAGCTTGAAAAGGATTGGGAGTAAGTCCTCTTTAAAAATTTGGAAGAATTCACTCATAAGTCCATCTGGGCCAAGACTTTTGTTTTTGGGGAGACTTTTTATTACTGTTTCAATTTCCTTGCTGGTGATAGATCTGTTCAGATATTCCAGGTGTCTTGGTTAAGCCTTGGCGGTTATAGGAATCCAGGAATTTATCCATTTCCTCGTGGTTTTCTTGTTTTGTGGCAAAAAGATTCTCAAAGTAATTTCTGAGAATCCGTTGAATTTCTGTAATTTCTGTTGTGATGTCCCTATTTTCTTTTCTGATTCGATTTATTAGGGTTTTCTCTCTCCCTTTCTTTGTGAGTCTTGCTAGAGGTTTATCAATTTTATTTTCTCAAAGAACCAGCTCATGGCTTATTGATTTTTTTCCGGCTTACATCTTGTTAATTTCTGTTCTAAGTTTTATTATTTCCTTCCTCCTGCCTGGATTGGGCTCCTTTTGATGGTCATTCTCCATGCTCTTAAGCTGTGAGGTTAGGTTACTTATGTGGGCTCACACTTCCTTCCTGAGGAATGATTTTAGAGCTATAAACTTTCCTCTTAACACAGCTTTTGCTGTGTCCCATAAGTTCTGGTAACTGGTGTCCTCATTTTTGTTCATTTCCAGGAACCTTTTGATTTCCTCTTTGATTTCTTTTCTAAGCCACTCATTCAGTAGTCAGCTATTTAATTTGTAGGTGTTTGATTTGATTTTCTGTTTGTGTGTGTGATTCACTTCTATTTTCAGTGCATTATGGTCTGAGAAGCACATCAGTTTTTTGTCCTGTTTGCATTGGGTCCTCCCAATGCCCTTCCTGGGTATCTGTGGTTTGGGGGTACATGTGTGTGTCTTCTGAACCTAAAGGAGATGATGGAGGCAACCTCAACCTTGAGCAGAGACACGGGCCTCCACGTGGCAGGCGCAGCTTCCTCCCCGCCCTCTCAGATGTGCGCACAGCCTCATGGATGCATTTGTCACCTCCCTGTAGGTCTGGCCGTGGGTCTGGGCTTCGGTGCTCTGGCCGAGGTTGCCAAGAAGAGCCTTCGTCCTGAAAATGCCACAGGTGAGTGGAACTCTCTGCAAGGGAGGTGCGGGGTCCCTAGGAGGGGGCTTGTTGGTCCTAGAACCTATAGGTGACCTGTGACATTGGCTGGTTTTATGGGGTTGGGGTGGGTGGGTGCTGGGGGAGGGGCTGTCCTTGCCTCCTACCTCCCCTGGCTGCTGCTGTACTCTGGCCTCTAGACCTGTGGGGTCTCTCATCTTTTGGCTGGGTTAGGTATCCACACTTCCTGTTTGACTGTGGGTAAGGGTGTGAGTGCTGTCAGGACAGATCCTTTTGGGCCCTCTGTCCCCCAGTCTGGTGTCCTGGGGAGACTGTCTCCTCTCAGGGCCAACCTGTAACTTGCGCCTCAGTGTTCTGCCTGGGCACAGGTCTGGATGATCCCTCTCTGTGGACCCCAGTGACATCCCACTGCCCTGCAGATCTGCAGCCCCTGAGTACCAGATACCAGCATGTGTCCTGGTCCTATGGGTTCTGAGGGTGTGGAGTCCCCTTGGATGAGCCCTCACCATTCAGGTTTCCTGTGCACACGGATATTCTGGAGTCCAGGGCCGTGTCCTCAGAAGCCCGGGACACAGGGAGGCGGTCCAGGGTGTGTTGAACCTCTGTGCTGAGGTGATTTGGGAAGCAAGCCCGGGTTTTTCTGTAGGGGAACCAGCCTTCCCTAGACACTGCCAGTCTTCCCACCCCCTACTGGCTGCCTCCATACCCCCTGGGCCAAGCAGGGAAGAGGTTAGACTGGCTCGCAGGTTCACTGGTGTCTTTCTCAGGGACAGTGGTGGCCAGGCACTGTTTGCAGGCCAGTAGGCAATGTGCTTGGGCTTGGTGGATTTACTCTAGTGGCCCCTCCTCATGCCTTCATCCCCACTTCTCATGCAGGCTCTGGACCTAGTAGAGGCTGAGCCCCATCCAAAGATTCCCTGCCAGTGGGAAGGCTGTGTGTGTGTATGTGAGAGAGAGAGAGAGAGAGAGAGAGAGAGAGAGAGAGAGAGAGAGAGAGAGAGAGAGAGAGAGAGAGAGAGAGAGTATGTACGTGTCTCAGAACTGCCAGCCCAGACAGGTTCCTACCTCTGGCCTGTGGAGGTGCTGCTGGGGACTGGGTTTTGTCCCTCAGTTTCAGGAGTGTTGCTCTCAACCAGGCTTTTCTTCTGGGAGACTCCAGTCCCCATTCTCCTGCAGGGGCTGGCCATTCCTGGCCTCCTCGCCTGCCAGGTCTTCTTAGTGAGGAATCATCTGGGGACATGCTGTACAAGCTGTTCTGACATGGCCCACTTGTGGGCTGCTGCTTCCCTAACCCCCAAGTGTGGTCCTGAGACCTCTCCCCTCCCCATTCATCTGTTCTCCAGGATCCCTTGACCAAGGTTTCCCACAGGTCCCCCTTGGATGCCGCCTGAGTGTACTCAGTCTGGCTCCATGGATGCACTGGCAGCTGTAGGAGGAGCTGGGGAGTCTCCTGAGTGCCAGAGGTTCCGAAGCCAGAGTTCTCCCTCTGGCTGTACTACTGCCTGGCTGCCCCTCTGAGCCATCCCCTTGCTTCCCTGTGTACTGGACAAAGGTCACCCCCACCCATGAGGCCCCTGACTCCGCCTGGAGTCAGGCAGCTGTTGAGAAGTGTGGAGGCCGTCTGGGTTTTGTTTGCCCTTGACCCTGCATGCTTCCCTGGACTGTTTTCTGTCCCCAGCAAGCATGCAGTGATCCCAGGAGTGCTGAAGATCTTTGTCCCTTAGGCTGGGAGGGGTGGAGGGGGGACAGTGATGTGGCAGTCCCTGCCTCGGGATGATTCCTGCGGTCCTTGAGTTCTTTGCCCCAGTGCTTGCCTCTTCTCCATGCCCTTTTTCTTGGCCAAGGGCTGATGGGCAGGGAAAGGCCCCATGCATATATGTGTTTGGCACACATGCGTGTGTATGCGCATGTGTATATGTGAAGTGTGTTGGGGTGCAGGAGAACATATCCTCAAGCTCCCCATGTTCTCTTGTTGTCCTTTATGGGGAGACCACACCACGTGGGGCATATGCTCACACAGTGCCAGGTAGGCTGGAGGTGCGAGGGTTCCCGTTCTCCTGTCCAGAGCCCTCTGTGGTGTCCACCCACTCCCCACCCTCAGGGAAGAAGGCTGTGCTGGACTCGAGCCCCTTCCTGTCTGAGGCGAATGCCGAGCGCATTGTGAGCACACTCTGCAAGGTGCGCGGCGCTGCGCTCAAGCTGGGCCAGATGCTGAGCATTCAGGGTAAGTGGGGGCACATGGGGCCAGGCAGGAGCAGGGCTGCCTGGACCCCACTGAGCTGCACAGCGGTGCTGTGTGCATGGTCAGGGCATGGTGCACATTTAAATGGCTTCCAAAACCTGTTTCCTTTATAGACATAAGATACTACACAGGTTTTATTTAAGTTTTTTAATTTATTTACTTTTTGGTTTTTCGGCCTCACCCAGCAGTACTCAGGGCTCACTTTTGGTGGGCTCTGGGGACCATATGGGGTGCCAGGAATGGAACCTGGTCAGCAGTATGCAAGGAAGTGTCTTACCCACTGTACTATTGCTCTAGGCCCCATAACTTCTTCTGTAAGGAAACCTCTGCTTGGGTCCCTGGTAGGCACAGGGAGCCTGGCACCTATGTTCCTAGACACAGTACACTTCCCAACGTAGGGCCTGGGTGGCAGGGGATGTGGGAGGCCCCCAAGGTCTAGATGTCTCTGTGGGAGATAGAAGAGTGCCTGCCTGGGGCCCCTGATGGCTGTCTGCAGCCGTGCCTAGCATCTTATCTCCATCCCCTTCCCCCGCCCCAGATGATGCCTTCATCAATCCCCATCTGGCCAAGATCTTCGAGCGGGTACGGCAGAGCGCGGACTTCATGCCATTGAAGCAGATGATGGTGGGTGGGCACTGCCATGGGGATGGAGGGGTGGCGGGCAGGGGTCATCTCGTGTCTTCCACTGCTCAAGCTCCCTGCGTCTCTCTTCAGAAAACTCTCAACAGTGACTTGGGGCCCAACTGGCGAGAGCAGCTGGAGTCCTTCGAGGAGCGGCCCTTTGCCGCTGCCTCCATTGGCCAGGTGCACCTGGCCCGTATGAAGGACGGCCGTGAGGTGGCCATGAAGATCCAGGTAGGCACTGCATCCTAGATGCGGCACCCTGACTTTTTTCAAATTGGTGCTTGGTGTGAAGTAGTGGGTCAGGCCACCAAGTCCCTGGAATATCCTTTTCTCTGAGTCTGTGGGGACTGTCTTCCGACATAATGCTCAGGCCATGACGTTGTCTGAGGACCTGCTGTGTTGGAGTGAGTGATGGGGAGGGTACTGGCACCCCGTGGTTGGAATGGGAGAGGGACAGGTGACCAGTTTCTGGCTGTGGGGCCTGTGTTGGGTCCATGTGGGACTGGACTTGAGCAGCTGCAGGGCAGGGGTTGAGGGGTATCATGGCAGCCACTGTTGGCTGTGACTCGGCCCCCCTGTGTATTGGGAAGCATCCAGGTGGCGTGGAGGGGGACTTCTTTGTCAGGTTTTGTGCCATCTGCCCCGGGTACCCCCTCTTGTCCCCTGCAGTATCCGGGTGTGGCCCAGAGCATCAACAGTGACGTCAACAACCTCATGGCGGTGCTGAACATGAGCAACATGCTTCCCGAAGGTCTGGGTGGGGGACATGGGCACCCCCGGCGCCTCCCTGGGGAACTCCAGTGCCCTGATGCCTCCATCCTGGCACAGGCCTGTTCCCTGAGCACCTGATTGATGTGCTGCGGCGGGAGCTGGTCCTGGAGTGTGACTACCAGCGTGAGGCCGCCTGTGCCCGCAAGTTCAGGTGTGACTACCTGGGGGGACTGGGGATTGCAGGGAGCCCCTCTAGCTCCGGGCTGGAAGACTGTCCTTGGGGTGACTCTGGGCCTGTCTCTGATTTCCTGCCCCTGCCAGGGAGCTGCTGAAGGAGCACCCCTTCTTCTGTGTGCCTGCAATTGTGGACGAGCTATGCAGCCCCCATGTGCTCACCACCGAGCTGGTGTCGGGCTTCCCGCTGGACCAGGCCGAAGATCTGAGCCAGGAGGTCCGCAATGAGGTATGTCTGAGGGTGGCCTCATGCTGGCCTGGTGGCTAATTGAGCTGAGGGGGCAGGCAGCTGCAATGTCCCCTACCAGCTGGCACCCCAGAATTCCAAACTGTCCCTTGGGCAAAAAAAAAATGGGGTGGAAGACAATAGGGCTTCGGGGGGCGGGGGGCGCAACCAGGTTGTCTGGTGCTATTGTGAGAAGCTGCCTGCCTGCCCCACCCAGATCTGCTACAACATTCTGGTATTGTGCCTGCGGGAGCTGTTCGAATTCCACTTCATGCAGACAGACCCCAACTGGGCCAACTTCTTCTACGACCCTCAGCAGCATAAGGTGGGCATACCAAATGTTGTCGTTCGGGGGCCTGAGGTTTGCCTGAGTGGGAAATGAACCCTCTCAGCAGGCTGTTAGCCCCTATAGAACCCCCTGCCCCGTGTGCCCCACAAACCTCTCCCCGTCACCCATTCCCAGGTGGCTCTTCTGGACTTCGGGGCAACACGAGAGTATGACAGCACCTTCACAGACCTCTACATTCAGGTAGCCCTGGGGCCAGGGACTCACCGGTGCTCTGCTGGCTGGGATCTGTGTTTTGGGTACTTGGTGGGGGGTAGCCTATGTCCCTAACTGTGACTAGTGCTCGGTGTCAGTGACACAGTTGTGTCAGGGTCACAACTGGGTTCTCCAGGCCAGGATCCAATTAGAAGGTTGGATGGGTGGCATTAGCCCTTGGGGGCTACTCTCTGCTGCCCATGCATTTTCCTTTGCCTCTCCCAGATCATCAGGGCTGCTGCTGACAGGGACCGAGAGGCTGTGCTGCGGAAATCCATAGAGATGAAGTTCCTCACTGGCTACGAGGTCAAGGTGAGCTGCCAGGGTCTGGGACTCCCACAATGTCTGATAGTCCAGGCCCAGATCCTGTGGGGTGGTCTTCCCTGTGGTAGGGAGAGGGGCTGCCTGTTCCTTTGGGGTCCTCATTAACAAATGTCCGGATTCAGCGAAGGTGGCAGGAAGATCATGATATTAGGTGTGACTGGGCTCCTGGTGACTAGTGTTTCTGGCCCCCACTGTCACATAAGGGGTTTTCAGGGTGCTGTGAGCTGGCATTCAGGGTGCTGGTGAGCTGCACCCCGCTACCCCGGTGCTGGTAGCACCCACCCCAGTAAGGGGTGGCATCTGTTTGCTGCCACCGAAACCACCCAGGGAGCAGCACTTGCTCTCCTGGCAGTGGGAGCCTGAACAGACCAGCCTCATGGTCCTGCTGCTGGGAGCACAGGTCTGGCTAAGGCCCACAGACTGGACTTCCTGGGTTGAAGGGGGAGGCTGAGAACTCTGGAAGGGAGCCCGCAGGGAGCCTCTTCACCCATCAGTTTGTCTGACCCTCACAGTTTTGGAATTTAGTCCTGTTGCGAGTGTGTAAGCTCATTCAGGCAAGACACTGCCCTCAGCATGGGGGCTGTGTGAGGAACCACTCCTGGCTGGTGTCCCCCCCTTATTACAGCTTATTGTTCCTACTGCTTCAGGCCATGGAAGATGCCCACTTGGATGCCATCCTCATCCTAGGGGAGGCGTTTGCCTCAGAGGAGCCCTTTGACTTTGGCAACCAGAGCACCACTGAGAAGATCCACAATCTGATCCCCATCATGCTGAAGCACCGGCTCGTCCCCCCTCCGGAGGAGACTTACTCCCTGCATAGGAAGATGGGTGGCTCCTTCCTCATCTGCTCCAAGCTGAAGGCCCGCTTCTCCTGTAAATCCATGTTTGAGGAGGCCTACAGCAACTACTGCAAGCGGCAGGCCGAGCGGCAGTAGTGGGGACTCCACTGCGCAGACTGAAACCTGTGGCGTGTCTGTGCTGTCCAGCTCCTTTGCCCTGAGTGGCAGGCGGGCTCTGACAGGGCAGATGGGGATGCTGCCGGGAGCCCATTACTGGTGTGTGCATGGTTTTTAGGGCTAATGGTTTGGACTGAGTAATGTAAATGTGAAAATGAAACCCCAGCTCCTTTTCGAAACAATCTGCTTATTCACTCACTGTCACTGTCCTCCCGTCGTTCATCGATTTTGCTCAAGCAGGTCCAGTAACATCTCCATTTTTTTTTTTGAGACTTGTTGTTACTGTGTTTGGCATACTGAATACGTCACGGGTAGCTTGCCAGGCTTTGCCATGTGGGCAATACTCTTGGTAGCTTGCTGGGCTTTCCGAGAGGGACGGAGGAATCGAACCTGGCTCGGCTGGGCTGGCTGCTTGCAAGGCAAACGCCCTACTGCTGTGCTATCGCTCCAGCCCAGGGAGTTTATAAAGCTAGATAAGTAATTCTAGATAAAGGGAAAAGAGAGACTTTCCCCTTCAGCTGCCTTTATTTTTCTTGATGGGAATTTTGAATGTTCAGGTGCCCTATGAATTCCTGCCACCAAACCAACAAAACACTGGAAAACATCTCAAAACTAAAACCAACCCAAGCCAACCAAATAGCAGGAATGTTAGGTGTTATCAACTCTAGTGTGAGGTTTGTCCGAGTCTATATTCTTGAATATTTCTGTCCCTTCCTCTCCCGCCTATGATCTGAGTGAGGAGGGTGCTGAGCAGGCTTTGACAACTGGTTTCCGGAGAATGCTGCCCCATGGGAAGGCAGCCTCAGGAGACTGAAACACATGGGTCTCTGCTAAAGGCAGCTTCCTTCCCCCACCAGGCTAAGAACCTTAGTGGAGATGAATGGCAGGTGTCACCAGGTTAGACCTGGGGATCATTCTGGCTCTGTGAATTTTGGTACAGTATTCTACTTGTAATAGATTTTCTTGCTTTAATTAAAAAATAAAAAATAAAAAAGCTTCTGGTTGTGCCTCTTTCCCGTCAGAGGCCTACATCAAACCTGAGGGTGGTGAGAGGCCCCAGGAGCTCCCGTGCAATTCCCACCTGTTCCAGCATGAGAAACTCAATGTTTAGACCACCCTGGCCTCCCAGGTGGGGATCTTGGACACTGCAGCAGCTGTTGGCATAGCCTGTGCCTGGCCCGCGTGGCAATGAGATCATTATAGTGACTCTTCTCGGGGCAAATGTAATTTCTGGAAGGGCAGTTTCAATGTTCAGGTGGGGGCTCTTCTAACAGGCAGGGTTAACACCTGGAAAAGTGAGGCAGGGGTGAAACTTACTGCAGTGGCCTAGTTGCCCCTTCCAGATGTTTCCAAAAGAATCTAAGACTTTCTGTAGTTTGGTGAACTCTGGGTCAGAGGGGAGGTTTGGGTGGCCTTTAGGAGTGTTCTGTGGGAGGCCTGTTGAGGGTTATCTCAAGTGCCCAGCACCAGCTCTTCCTCATCAGTATTTGTGGTGCCTTAAAAGGCTGTATTTCTGTATTATGTGTCATATATATTTAGGTACAAACTTCTATGATGACCAAATGAGAAAATGTCTCAAAGGTGAAATGGCTGAGAAACAGTGAAGGTAAAACAAAGATATGGAAGGAGACAGTAGCCCACAGCCCATCACTCTAAACCAAGAGCTAGTCGAGATGCAGGGAGAGCTCAATGGGCTGAGTGCATGCTAATCCTGTGCGAGGCGTGGGTTCAATTCACCAAGTGGTCCTCAAGAATTGCCAGGTGTGGCTCCAGAACAACAAAACAAACCAAGGGATGGCATAATGTGGTCAATCAGCCCCTCTACCTGTCTTGGTAAGGAGTTCTTTTGGAGTTCTACAATTGTACTTGTGCATCTACTTAGCACGTAAGGCAGCTCTGAGTTACAAGGGCAGACCTAAGGAGTTATAAGAGACTAGCCTGCAAGTATTAGGCCAATGTCCTTTACCAAAGTTTGTCCTGCCTTGCCCAACTGTGGTTTGAAAGTATGTCAAATATTTTAAGGAACTGTCACACCACTAACATTATATTTAATGTTACCTGGAAGTTGGTGAGATGGGAACGAGGAGAAGACTCAGTACTATGATTCAGCCACAGCCATAATTTAAGATTTCTTTTGTGGAGCCCAGCATCCCAAGATATGCCAAAATTTAAGTGTTAGCTATTTGTTTTCTGAAATTAAATACAAAATCTATTAGCCACCAAGTTTATAGGATGAGCTGTGACAAGGAAGGGGACACTGGCTGTTGCAGGGACTCAGTGCCACATCCTTCCCCCTCCCATATGGCACAATAGCGGGGCCTCTGAGAAAGCCTTGGGAGAGCCTGGGGCACAGCCTGATTCAATAACAGGGAAGTTTGAACAACCAGCTGAACGCTTCAGCTTCACGAGAACCATGCACCATTCTTTCCAGAACTCTGGAAGGAATGGAGAAATCCCAAGTCAAACCAACCTATCTTTCCATGGGGTAAGGAGATCTGGGACCTCAGACATAGTTAAATGGGCTGAGCACAGGCTTTACGTGCAGGAGGTGGAGGCTCGATTGTCAGCATGATGCAGTCCCTCAAAACAAAGTTGAGAATAACCCCCAAGCACCAAGCCAGAAGTAGCTCTCCACACTGCTGGGTTTGCATGCCCCTGCCCTCAAAAAAAAAGTAAGGAAGAGGATGGAGCGGTGGGCGGGGAACTGGCAGAAAGGAGCCAGTAAAATGAAGTCACTTTACATCATTCCTCAAATATTTTATTTGAGAGAAAAAAAAGACAAGATACTCAATTCTAACAGTTCCCTGTTTTATTGCAATACATCAAAGTCTGGTTAATATTAAGTGATACCAACATAAAATACCGGTGAGGAATCTTCTGTTACATTTCTGATGATCCCACCTTAAATAAATTCTGTGCAAAAAGAATCCCCATTGTTGCTTGGTAGCAGAGGATATCTTATGAAGGTCCCCAAGACATTGAGGGCATAAACCAAACAAAGTGAAATAAAGAGTGATTAAAGGCCAAAGCACTATCTTTTCCCCTTCCATACACATGTATTTGTGAGAATTATATTCTAAACAGGAAAAAAAGATTACACCTAGGCCATGCAAAACTGTACAATAATATTACAATGAGAAAAAAACCCTAAAAAAATGTAATAGCAAAATGATATTACATACTACCAAATAAAAAGGCAGGTCACTTAGTTTTGTTTTTTAAATTAAATTTCAAGGTTGCTTTGTTTAAGTCAATTTTCCCCTGAATGAAATGGGTGTGTTGTGTGTGTGTGTGTGTGTGTGTGTGTGTGTGTGTGTGTCTGATGGCTATCCCCAGGGAAGGAAGAGAAGTGCCTAGCCTGTGACCAGGGCTGAGAGTGGAGAAAGCTCCAGCTGAAGCAAGGCCCTCTATCTAGCAGAGCTGCAAGTAACTCGAGTAAGAAGTAAAGTCAGGACAAGGAAAAAGGCTCTGCGGTGGGCTCTGGAGGGTCAGCCATGTATGGAATTCTAGGCCAGGCCATGAAGAGCAGTGAGTGAGGCACCAAACTGCCTTCTGCAGCATGCAAGCCTGGCTGCACAGAGCACCCATGTCCAGGAGTTGGAGGTGAGCTTCCCAAGGCCCGTGCTAATGGGGACAACTGCCAAAGGCCAGGAACTGGTCCTGAGGGGTGAGGGGCATCTGGCCACCCCTGCCCTAGCTTTTCTTTAATAAAATCTAATTTTACAGAAATGCAACTGGCCTTTCACAGCAGTAGATGTGGCCCCAGTCACTGATGACAGATTTTAAACTTGGGAAGACAGACGCTGAGAGCAGTGGGAATGTCAGGTTGGTGCTGCAAGGAGAACAGGAGCCTCAAATACTTTCCTGAAGGCAGAGCAGATGAACTGCTTGGAAAACCAACTAGAAGGGCCCTTTTAAATTGTTTCACAACCTCAAAACTCTACTCCCTGGTAAAAAGCACAAATCACTAGCTGCAGGGACGTGTATGTGTGTATATGTGCACACACCTACACACATAGCTAAAGAAGTGAAAAGGGCTTGAGTAATCATTTGACAAGGAGGAAGGCTTTTGTTTTTGGCAAAAAGAAATACAAATGCATGCGCATTTGTGTATTTGTGTGTGTGTGTGTACATATATGTAACTTTATATACCCGAAGCACATAATGAGTAATTTGTAATTCAAGAGTAGACAACAAATTGGCTGGACATAGATAGCACCAAATACCAACACATACAGGCTATGCCCGAAATGCATCTTCCTGATGTTTTCTTTCTGCTGAGAAATGAGTTCCTACCTCCATGGCCCAATCTGTCCCACATGAAAGCAAAGGCTTACCCCAGAGAGCACAAACCACCTTTCAGTGAGCTGTTATTCCTCCCTTGGGTCTCTGTGCGGTTACCCCAGTCTTCATCTTGCCATTTCCCCAGAGCTTTTGAAGGTAACAGGCTCATATTTAAGAGTAGGGGGAACCCAGAGGCAATTATTATCTTAGGAAAATTGCCTCCCAAACTATTATGCTGGCAGTGCACCCCCACCCCTCCTCCATCCCTGTCCACCTTGCCAACCGAACCTGTTTGGGGTTGCTTTTTGTGACAACCCATCCTGTGACTGGCAGAGGCAGGTGGAAAAGCCACCTGCCTGTGGGGCAGCAGGAACTGGAACCTGTAGGAGTCCTAATGTTCTTGCTTGCTCCTGGGGTAGCAGAGCCTGGATGCAGTTATCTCTGCTTTGACCTTGAACAAGCAAGCACCCGCAGCAACAGAAACTCACACTTGATTGTGAAAGCTACAAGCTAATGGCTTGCTGTAGAGTCCTGTGACTTTGTCCTGGCCCAAAGACTAGGGCAGGAAGAAAAGGTGGGGGCATCCGAGAGAAGGAGAGAGGAGTCTTGAGAAGACGGGAGCAGCCACAGGCACTCAGCATCTGCCTCCAGCGAGCCACTTCCCTCTTCTTGCTTCCATCCTCTCAAGAAAGCTCAGGGACTACCAGGGCAGTAACTGGAGTCAAGACTGATTCAAACTACCTCATGGAGATTCAGTAAAATTTAAAACAACAACAACAACAACAAAACCAAAAACAAAAACGACTGATTCAAGGCCTCTGGATGCACAAGAGTAGTTTTACATGAAACTTCCCAAAGCAAAAAAGATTTACTTGAAAACTGTGCAGTACTTTAAGCCCATCCAAAAGAAACCATGGTGAGGTCTAAGCAAGCAGAGTCTAAGTGTGGGAATGGATGTGGTAAAGTTCTGTGGGTTATTTCACACATGTCCTGCCTCCCGATTCTGCCCAACCTGCAGCCCCTTCTCAAGAGAGACGGGATGGGGGTGCCAGCTCCCTAACAGGCAGGCTCCTCCATACTCAAGAGCAGAGTGCTTCAGCAGATCAGAAAGAGACAGTGCTCAGAGAGAAAGAAGATGCTCTCTACTTCTCAGAGAAACTTAGGTAAAAAGTGAGAGAGGCAGGTTCTCTTTACTTCCATTCAATTTTTTATTCCTACCTCTCTCAACTCATGCGCTTAACAGGTGAAGTGACTTTGGAGAAATAAGGTTCTTCCCATTGTGTACCTCATTTCCTGGTGGTGACTGAAACTTGTGGGAACACAAATGGTACCGCGACTAACACAACAGAGGGGGCAGGTGGACCTGCTAGGCCAGGCTGCTCCCAGTGGGCAGGTGCGGGGCTCTCTCTCACTTCTTGCATTCATGGGCTTATGCTATTTGGTACTAAAGTCCTTGTCCAGGCTTATCTGAGGAAGCTCGTACCCACCCTCAAAGCAGGCTCTTTTCTGGGCACCTGGCTAAAATTCAGAGAGGGGCAGGATCGGTGCAGAAGAACAAACATTTTTCAGGGCCTCTCCATGGCCCTTCAGAAGCTGTGTCCTTCCTGTGTCCTTACAGATGGAAGGAAGAAAGTGATATACCAAAGTACTAAAAAAAAAAAAAAACCCAAAAAAGGAAAGAGTGGTCCATATTCTACTACTAGAAAAAGTAACGTCTGGTACAGGAGTTTGCCTTCTGGTGATGCCAAAGAGGCTTCAAACGTGCAAAGTCTGGTGCTTAGCTCCTGCCCCGGTGCATTTCCTAATGGTCTGGCCACTGAGGCTTGGAGCCCACGTGAGGACGCAGCACTAAAGGGAACTCTGATTTCTCCTGCTCTCCCTCCAAAACCATCAGTGGGAGGGCTTTCTACTCTTAATTACTTAGCTGGAGAACAGACAAGAAACAACACATTTCTTAAATTAAATGATCTCTCTCATATATGCATCCATTTTTTTTGTTGAATACAAGATGCTTCTTTTTACTATATACATTCAGTATTTAACCTCTACATTTGTGTATTTACGTAAACTCTGTATTGTAGTAAAATATGCAGTTTTAATTAATAAGGACTTACTGGCAACAATTAGGTCGACATTCACTGTAGGTGCTGAGTGAGGGCTTAGCGTGCCTTTCCAGGGCGGACAGGAGAGCTGTGCTATGAGGGGACTAGAATGTGACTCTACTGTGAAAACAAAGTGTCTAACCTTATCCTTATCACTTACGTTTGGGGTATCTGTCTACTTGTGGGTGGAGGGTGAAAGGGTACAGAAAGCAACTCTAGATGTGCGAAATGAAATCAGTATTAATCTAAGGTGCTTTTAATGAAAGTCTGTCTATGAATAGTGGCTGCTATTTAGTCCGGGGACTGTGGTCAGAAATCCTGAATCCCCACCCAGCTACTGGGGCTGCTGCGGGAGGGAAAGATGAAGCAAGAGAGGAGGGAGCGAGGGTGAGGAAGCCTCTCTGGCATCCTGTGAGTGCTGAGGCAGTCAGGGGTCCCAGCTACTGCGTTCAGCGCTCTCCAGAGAGAGGCTCTTGGTCTTCCGGGGCGACACGGGGCTGGGTGGGCTGCTCAGGTTGGAACTGTTGGAAGCGGTGGAATGCCTTGGAGAGTCAGAGTCCTGTAAGAGTAAGAGAGTCATGAGGAGCAGGGGCAGGAAGGGCTCAGCCTACCTTGGGTTTCTTCCAGCCACATGCTCACGAGACTTGAGGGGATGAGTTTCTGAGCTGCTTAAGAGGCAGAGACACGTAACAAATGTGCAGAAGCCTTTCTCACAGAAGCAGAGAGGGCCTCGACTCCTCCAGGAACTCTGCAGCCCCAGTGCCTGGTAAATGCCTCTCACAGCTGTGGATGGTCCCCTGGTGGGGTGCCCTGGCCTGGCAAAGGACTTCTGCCACTGGGGCCAGGCAGTGCTGCTATGCCGCTTCACTCACCTCCCCATCATAGTCCCGCGCAGGGGCATCGCTCCCTTGATCCATGCCCCCAGAAGACAAGGAGCCCTCTGAGGGGGAAGGCAGGGGCTGCCGCTTGGCATTGTAACTTCCGCCTGAGAACTCCCTCTTCAACGCGCTGCCATTCTGTGCTGAAGACCCTGCAGCAATGGTTCTGGTCAATCTTTTCATGCAGGACGGAACAATCCCCACCAAGATCACAGATGGCTGAGAGGGTGCTGCCTCCTTCCCTCTCCCCCCAAAACCCACATAGTTGTTCCCACCCTTGCACCCACCAGGCAGCAGGTTCCAAGCTATCAGGCTCTGTACTGCTGACTGTGCCCATCTATCTTGTCCACTAGACTATTCCCATAGCACTGACCCTTCAACATCCATCCCAGCACGCTCTGTGCCTCACAGTGTCTCTTACAACATTTATGATGCCATGTTATAAGCAATTAAACCAAAAAATCCATTCTCTGGCCAAGCAGAGTGGCCGTGTCTTTCTGAGGGCAGCATGGCACGCAAGGCACAGCCAGCACGTGGGCATACATGAGGTCCATCCCTCACTTTTTTGAGGGTTCTCATTGGGAAAACATGGCACTTCAGGCAGCATTTTCAATCAACAGGGCCCAAAGTCCAAGACACAAAAATGAGGCAAGTTTTAAAATCACAAGCTTTAAAGCTTTTGGACCTTAGTGTTGGGGGCACTGGGGAGGGCAGGCACCTTCCAAAGTAGAAGAGGTGACCACAATGCTATGGAAATTCAGGGGCACCAGCAGTGCCTATTGAAAATCCACAGCACTTGCTTTAGTTTTCGCTAGAACATGTTTTACTCTCGCTGATATGTAATATTTATATCTTTGGTCAAAAAAAGATTGCTGAAGGGCTGGAGTCATAGCACAGCGGGTAGGGCGTCTGCCTTGCACGCGGCAGACCTGGGTTCGATTCTCAGCATCTCATATGGTGCCCCGAGCACTGCCAGGAGTGATTCCTGAGTGCAAAGCCAGAAGTAACCCCTGAGCATCGCCGGGTGTGACCCAAAAGGCAAAAAAAAAAAAAAAAAAAACAAAAAAAAAACACCTGCTCAGATTTTAGGACAATTGTAAGATAGGGTGTATTTCAAATTTTTGCTGGTTTAACAAATTTGAAATTAGTTTTCAATGAAGAACTTAATAAAAATGTTGCAAGATGACTTTAGAGTGTTATATTGGATAGTGGCTACCAAAGTTCAGAAGGCATCGCAAATAGCTGGGCCAGGAGCTACAGGGGAAGGAGCCTGTCCTTCCAAACACCCGGCAGAGTTCCCCCTGTTGCAGGGCACAGCAGGCAGGCCATTCTGGCTGCAGTTTGTATTGCATGAGCAGTGCCGAGGGGTGGCCAATCAAAATCTGATTTAGCTTTTTACAAAAGCTCTTCTGATGATCCTAGCCTGCATTGGGTTGAGAACCACTGAATCGGTGTGACCTCTGTAATCTCGGCTCCCTCTCGCCATTCTGCACCCAGAGTCCACTTCCAGACAAGCATCCTTCACTGCACAAACACTGACTTTCCTTTGCTGGTATATTTCTTGGCTTTTTGAACACATCTCCCAAAGAACAAAGAACAAAGATGTGTTTCCCTATAACTGACGGTGTAATCATTTTTATTGATTTCTCTTCCAATTCTACATCAAATTTAATGCCCAGTTTTAGTAAAAACTGAAGTTACTTTTCAAACAAAAAATTCTATAATTCTGAATAGAAAATCCAAACTGCCAGAGACCCTGCTGCTCTGCCTGTGCTAGCTCAATCACATTATTTTATCTTTCAGAGTCTCGGTCTGTTTTCATCTATAAAGAATAAATTCCACTTGATGGTGTTTTGTGTGGGAAGAGCTAACCATGCGCTATGCGCGGTGCAGACTGCAGCAGAAAGCAGGAACACACGGGCCTGCGACATTTTTCTGAACCTTCATCTGTGCTGGTAACTGTGGATAGAATAGCTCCACAATATTTGGAATGCTCTTTTCAAAGAGACATTATTCTCAATCATCCCAATCTTAAATAATTAAGGTAGGACCAGAGGGATAGTATAAGAGCTAAGGCGCTTACCCTGCATGAGGTTGAACCCAGTTCACATTCCCATCACTAAACATAGTCTCCCAAGTTCCACCAGGAACGATCCCTGAACACAGCCAGGACTAAGCCCTGAGCACTGCCTGGAGTTGCCCCTGCAAGCAGGCACTAGCTAGATATGAATTAAGTCCCTATAACTTAGTAGAAAAGCTAATGGGTGCTCAAATATTTTACAGCTTGAACAATGAATATAATTTGCTCCTATGATAATAAGAACAAAGGCACCTACCCATCTCCACTCCCTTTTCACTCCCCACCAAAGGGAAGGCAATGCAGTCTTGACTGAATGTTTTGTAAAAGTGAGAGGCATGATGAGGGAATTGATCTGAAAACTGAGGTCCTGATACCATGTAGTCAGGACCGCCTCTTCCATGGCATGTAAATGGTGACTGAGGTGGAGGCTGGACCCTGAAACTTGGAAGTGTGGGTGTGCGTGCGTGTGTGCGCGCGTGTGGAATGTCTGTGTAACAAGCTCTGTGTTTCTATATTGGCTGGCAAGACTTTCCTTCTAGAAAGGTCTAGATAATCTGGGCTGTTCTGGAAACAAATTTTGAACAGCAAATGCTCCATAGTTAACCGGAGGGTTCCCTCTATCCTCCTCAAACAGCTGGTGAACGGGACTCTCAGAGGTCTGACTTGACTCCCCTAGGGGGACTCAGGAATGTGGCCTATCTGTGGTTTGTATATCTAAGCAATAGTGACAGGAATTCCTTTCGACAGCTCCAGGGAGGTGGTCCTTGGTCAAGAAAAGTCTCCTCCAAATTAGAAGCTGCTGCAATATTTTGACAATCTTTCCTTGTTGCTGATGATCCAGGAACTACCAAAGATCTCACTGACCTGGTGACTAAATTTTAACTTTTTAAATCAATATTCTATTTGTACATTGCTCTCATTATGACCCAAGCAGTTTTGAGTATCCTAATGTAAGCTTTTTTTGGGGCAAACATTATCTTTGATACTTTTTTCCTTCCCACTGAAAAGCCACCTGGGGCAGAAGCTGGACACTGAGTGTCCCATGGAGACTGCTTCTCTCTGTGGTTCTGGGTCAGAGTTCTGTGCAGAACCCTGCAGGTACTGGAAGGAGATGCTGCATTTCATGGTACAAAGGGGAGGCTAGTGACAAAGATCTCGGGCACCTGAAAGCCAGCACTAGCCATATGTGAGTTGAGCTCCTGTACCTGAGCAGAAAAACTGCTCATGGGAGCTCAAAAGTTTTTTATAGCCTGGTTAATGAATGCCATCTGGTTTTGGGGCAAAAGTACACATTTCTGAACCTGTTCCTGATCTTTTAGTTCCCCAAATGTGTTCCTGTTCTTCTGACTATGGGTTCTCTCTACATGCTGGGGACATCCTCAAGCTACCCTGCTGCCCTTGGTGAGCATGAGGAAGCAGGAGGCAGGAGCCTGTTCTGGCTCTCCACCCCCTTTCCTGCCTCAGTGAGCTTTGCACCAAGTCTTTGTGTCTATTCTAAGAATCAATCTGGAGATGCTCTTACTCTTTCCCCTTTGCGGCCACTTCTGGACACTGGGTTCTGGCTCCCTCCTGCCCACTGAGAGGCTCCCACTGGGGTCTGCCTCTGTCAGATCTGATGCACAGCTCTCACTGGGCAGCCCCAGGATCTTCTCAGCCACGTAAGCTGATAAATGTCCTTCCCTATTGAGAATCCTTCAGGCTTCCTGCTATGCTTTGAAGTAAATAAAAAGGGTCTCACCTTGGTCTCCAGGTCTTCCCTGATCTGACCACTCTGAGTACAGCCCTGTAGCTCTACTCAGGACCTTGGTGCTTGACTAATACTCACTGAGGGGAGGGCAGGCCATTCTTCTAAGGATGAGAATAGGAACTGACCTCCAGGGCATGAATAACCCCTGGTGATTCTCTCTGCTACACCTTGTTTCATAGAAGATGCACAGAGCATGCTCAGATATCCACACATCATATCCCTCTGCCTGTCCCATATTGTTAACAAAGCTTTCTTGACTCAGGCAGATCTAACACACAGTAGACACTGGCTTGTGCATGAGGCAAACCCAAGTAAGTGAGGGAACGGCATATTAGCGCAGAGGACCCCCAGGGCAGCACGATGCTCCCCTGCTGTGGAAGAGCTCCCTTCAGCTGGGCCCACTTACTTGATGACAGGCCACTGCTGGCGCTCATGGAGCGGCCGGGTTCAGGGCGGGATTTGGTGATAGATGGAATACTGACCGAGCCGCTGAACACGGCTCTGCTTTCCTGAGGCCGAGGATTCTAAAAATGAGAGAGAAACATTCTTCAGCCAGAGAGAAAATGATTTTCTGTAGAGATGACTCTCTCAATAATATCATCTTGTCCTAGAGAACCAGGAAGGGGTGCAATAAACTCTCCTGCTCATAAAAGCACTCAAGCTCTTAGAGCAGGAACCTCACTCCAACAAGGGTGAATATTTAGCTTTATACTTACTGGAGTGCTGAGCAACAAAAGATGTTTTGTTGTTGTAAATATAGCTCTATGGTTAGAAGTGACATACAGAATTACATACAGAATTACATGGACATATGCAGATACCTGGGATAAAGCTTTGGCAGTATCGAACCTTTATATTTGTTTAGGATACTCAATAGTCCAATCAGCCCAATTTGAGGAAAGTCAATTCAAAGTATATGACTGTCATGTTAACGTTTTATTGGTGAGATGGTAAATGGGGCAGTCCCAGGCATCCCCACTGCCTCTAGAGAAAGACTTGGTCATAAATATGATGCCTGCAGCAGTCACAGCAGTGATGAATCAAACACTGAACTTCCATACTGGCTTGAGAATTTCCTACTGCATCACCAGATGATTTTGGTAGCCAATATAGGAAAATAGGTCACAGAGGGTTTTGAAAGTCAGACACAGGTTAAAAGGTGGTATCTGAACCCAATGAAACACTTGGTGGCCCCAACATTTCCAAACTCTCTCTCAGGATTGACCCCTGAGAGAAAGTTATAGCAAAACAACAAATACAGGGCAGGCCAAAGCCAGCAGTCAGGAAAACCTGCATTAATACTACTTAAAAAATTCTTTTGGTGGGTGTTGGGGGGCACACCTGGTGATGCTCAGGGGTTACTCCTGGCTCTGTATTCAGAAATCACTCCTGGCGGGGTTTCGGGTGCCACATGGGATGCTGAGGATCGAACCTGGGTCTACCACATGCAAGGCAAGCGCCTTACCCGCTGTGCTATCACTCTGGCCCCAACCACAAAAAGAATTTTAAGTCACACTTTTTGAAGAATCACACACTGGAAGTTGGCAGGCTGTTTGGCTGGTCTTAAATTCAACCAATGGACATTTTGTTTCATATGTCAAATGTGCAAAGTTCATGTAATTCTGAATATGTTATTTAAGACAATGCTATGCCTTCTACGTCTAAGAACATAAAACATCCAAAAAAAAAAAAATCAAATAGTCAGGGCTAGCATTTCGCCATTCCTGCACACAGGGCAGCGTTATGAGCCACCAGCAACATGCGTGCAACACAGCAAAGGGGAGCTCCAAAGGGTGGGATTATAAACTCTATTTTTATTTAAAACTTTGGGTTTTGCTACACACCTCAAGGTATCTTAATATTGTGCCTTTCTATAAAACAAACCTATCCTAGAATAAATGAAAAAAAAATAAGCCCATAAGAAGCCTAGCTGTTTACTAACACTGAATATTGAATTCAGGAAAATACACAGTTGTTTTGTTTTTAAAAAAAAAAAAGAAAAATAGTTTTCCATTCAGCTTAAGTTCATCATTAAAAATTGCTATGAAACCTAAGTTATTTGGTCCTTTTCACATACAAAATATGTTTTCTAGATGGATAACTTAAGAACAATTTCCATCATATTTTTTTTAATGTTTGCTTTATAGTCTGGGGCCACTCCAGGTGTTGGGGGCCATGTGGAACTGGGGACTGACCTGCAGCTTTGCACACGAAGACATAAGTTCCGCCCTAGAGCTCTCATTCAATCCTCCACCTTGCTTTTTGTCATGGAGGGTCATCTCCTAAGTGGTGCTCCAGAGGCCTAGAAGCCTCTCCTGTCATTTCTTGGCAATCTAGGCTGGTCATTCAATACAAGAGCTTTGGGATGTGGTGCTGCTCAGGCCTGTGGTCAGGGGATTACCCAGGGTGGTAACTCCTGAACTAAACTGGACTAAACCCAGCAGCACGTGATACTCAGGGAACCATGTGGTGCCAGGAATTTAACTGAGGCTGGCTGCCTGCAAGGCAAGTGCCTTACCCTGGTATTATCTCTCTGGCGCCCTCCATCATTTCTGATATAAAAAATTCTTTTCTTTTCAATTTTGATTTTTGGGCCACACCCAGTAATGCACAGGGGTTACTCCCAGCTCTGCACTCAAGAATCACTCCCAGTGGTGCTAAAAAAACCGTATGATATGCTGGGGATTGAATCCAGGTCAGCTGCATACAAGGTAGGAGCCTCACCAGTCATACTATCTCTGGCCCCTGATATAAAAAATTCTTGCCAGACTAATTTATACAACATTCCTCTGGAGTTCACTCAGTTCCTGCAATTTCAAAGTAATTACAATTATATAGATAAACTACAATAAAAGTAAACTTAGGCTTTTTAAAATTATAGTTTATCTTATTTTGTCAAATAGGATATTTAAAGTCAGACAATTTAATGTAAATAACAATTACAAAGAAAACGCTTTAATTTTGAAGTATTTTAAAAGAGAAAAATACAAAATCAAGCTTTTCACCCTATAGTGAGTTTTAAAAATAGGAATATTACTCTGTATGTAGATAAAAACTGATGTTCTTCAGAGGGCATTACTCCGGAAAATGGCTTGTACGACACAATATAAATGCTTGCTGCAACCTAACTTGAGAAAATATTCCCCTGCAGATAGTGTAAGTATGTATTTATTAAAGGACAGAAGTAAGGGAATTTGGCTGGCAGGGCCTCCACCTCTGTGGCCCCTTCCAGAGCCACTCGGCTCAGAGAGGAAGGTCAAATGGCTGGGACTAACCGGATTCTGCAGTCATCCACATACAGAGAACTCAAAGAGCAATGAGACTATCTTCTTTTTGTAATTTTCTTTAACTTGCTGATGCTATTATACTTTCTACTATGGAAAAAAAATGAGAGGGAGACACACTCTCTGTGCTCAGGGTTTATACTCATAGCTCTGTGCTTGGAGTCACTCCTAGAACTCGAACTGGGCTTGGCGGCATGCAATGTAAGCATCTTACCCCCCCGTACTCTCTCTAACCTTCTACCATATAAAGATTTAAACTTTACAATAAGGGTTATATTAGATTTAGAAAAATCCATGAATAGGCCCCTACTACACACCTGAACTACACTAAATATTTAAAATTTTTTTTCTGATTTTAACTGGCTCTAGGGTAATAAAGTATAAACATTTTTAGAAAAATGTGGACCTCATTTTTGATGAAAAGAATAAAGATCTGCTCAGGGACTACTTGTTATGGTTTTCTGTAAGAGAAAACACCATCATGGGAAACATATTTTATTAAACACTGAAAACCTTCAACACAGTTTCAAAAATTTTTTTGAAATCCTCCCTAATATTCATCTTCTCAAAAGAAGGAACAAAATGGTGTTTGAAGGAAAATAAGGAGGAGGCTGGGATGGGTAAGGAGGAAGAGGAAGCCTGGCAACAAGAGAAACAGGCCAAAGGCAAACATTCCCCAGATACAGCAACTCTGCAGTGTTACTTAGGAAGCAGGCACAGGAGGGCTGTACATGGTTAGTCGAAGTTAACACCTGACTCATCTGTTCATACCCTCAGAGTCATAAAGCTTGGTGTACCGGGGACAGAGCGTAGAGACGGGGAACATTCGGGGTTTATGGAATCAGGAGAGAGAAATTTTTCAGCGGAATTAACAGTCATGTGATAGATGTGTTCAAAGTTGATCGGAGAGGAGATCAGACCGGAGTGATGATGAGGGGATGGATAAGGGAAACCTGGCTATCAAAAACAACAGAAAGAAAAAAGGTCATGAGGTAATGAAAATGATTCATTCGTTACACGTGACATTTCACACTACATGCATGTAGAAAATATGAAGTATCTCAATATCAGAAATGCATCCTTAATGAAATACTCTTAAACCTTAGAAAGTTACTCTGCAATCCTTTTGTTAGTTACTTAAATAGCTGATTTGACAAAAATTCATTTACTTTACCAAATTATTCTTTTATTACCGTCATTGAGGATAGAAACAGGGCTTTCAGAGATGTGAGAAGAGTTTCAGTTTATTTTAGCTTTCAATTTTCTGATGTGATAGAATTGAAACATGGCAAAAATCTACTAAAAACAGGATAGAAAAACAAGAAACAATAAAGAAAAAAACTCTACAGTGCTTTTTCACTAGAATATTATGAAACTGCTTCTTTAGATACCTAAAACCATTTCCTGGTATTTACAGGTTTGTGATAATGCCTGTGTTTTCACTTACTGTTTTTTCCTGTACTGTTTTTTCCTGTAAGACAGACCCTGTGCAATATTCTGACTTGTTTACCATAAAGCAACCTAAGTCTGTCTCCATTTGACACCCAAAATATTTACTTATAAAGGGAAAATCTTCCCTGCCATATTCAGATATACATCACTGTCACTGTCACTGTCCTCCTGTTGTTCATCGATTTGCTCGAGCGGGCCCAGTAACATCGTGAGACTTGTTACTGTGTTTGGCATATTGAATACGCCACAGGTAGCTTGCCAGACTCTACCGTGTTGGGCTCAGTAGTAACCAAAGAAATTCCATCCCAAAACAAAGATATACATAAAAATATATTATAGATAAGAAAATATATTATTTATATTATTATAATATAATATATAATATTATAGATAAGAAAAAAACTTGGGTTTTTCAGACAAAACAACTTTTGAGTATTTGGGATACTACTGGGTGACCAGGTAACACTCAATACCTGGTCACCATTTTTGCATGGAAATTTTCAAAGTTCAGTTCTAAAATTTAGTCCTATTCCCCAGAAAATATTCTACTATTCCTGCCTTGAAGGCAGAAATTGAATGACTCACTGAAGAGAATGCTGAATTTATGTTCTCATGAGTTGAATCAGTTTGCTTTGTTAAAAAATAGTCTGGTAAACTATATCGGGTTCCAAGAAAAATTAGAGTCTGGATGTGTGACTCAAGGGGGAGAACACATGTCTTGGCCTGGACTGAGCCCCAGCACCCCATGCCTGCCCTCCAGCCCGTCAGCTCTGCTGCAGTGATCCCCACAACAGTATGAATAAAAGCATCTGCAGAAGAAACTGTTTTAAATCAAGAGATAAGTAAAATCAGTACTTAAAAAAAATAACTCTAAGGCTATTTCCAAGCCAGAAAAAAAAAAAAACCTTAATGATATAAGTGTATCTTTGATTTTAAGAAGCAAGATTACTTCTAAAGGCTGAGGTCACTGAGAAATTTTATTGATAATTTAAGAATGTGTGAAAGGTTATGAGAACATGGTAAAAATATTTTTGAGGTAAAATATTCTAGTCAGTTGGGAGACAAATATGTTCTTTATTTTTAAAAAGGGTAATGATAAAAATTATAAAAATCCAAAAAATAGTATGCACATCTAAGAAATACAGGACAGTTTATATTATATTTTCTATGAAAGACAGAAAAAAATTCCCCAGCCTTACCACCTCTTCCATATTTCTCAGATGAAAGACCATGTTTCAGTTATCACTTTGTTACAAAGAAACAGAATTAGGCTCCCAGAGACATCCAGGAAACTCTCTAAGTGTTTAAGTATTTCACAGGAAAGCAAGCTGATCTCAGGATAAGTTACGACATTAAAACACCTAGGAACATACTCTGTACAGATGACAATACACAGCTTTGGTATTTAAAAGCTCTTATCATATATGTTAATGCCAGGTGAAAAAAGACCATTAAATATAGATAATTCAATTTTAATGGAAACATTATTAAAACCTGAGAATACATTAAAATAACACAAGCACATATGTACATATGTGTATACATACATATAACAGACATACACAGGTACAGACATGCACATTATTTTTTTCAGACATGCATATGACAGAATTGTTTACCAAAGTCTACCCCAAGACAAGCATGTTTTCTGGCAGAAAAGATTTCAGGAAATATTTGTTAAGTGATTAAGAGAATGTCTATGAAAAGTCCCAGCTTGCATGCCCTTTGTAAGTGAAAGGAAAAAGGTGAAAATGAAATAAGGCCATGAACAAAAGAAATTCAGACAGAGAAACTCTGAGGCAATACTACATGGGTAAGTGAAACATTTCCCAAAACTTTTTAACTTTATTCCAACTTCTTATCCTGGCAATACAAATAAACTTATATAAGAAAACCTTGAGAAAAAGAAAACCCATATTAAACTGGACTGTATTGCTAGGCAGAGTCACCTGTGCTAATGACAAAAATAACCAAAAAGGTAGTTATGGTTAATAAAATGAGAAGACAACAAATACTAAGAATCAAGAGGTCTAAGAAGAGTAAATAGTCAGAACACAAGGCCATGTCTTAAAGAGTCATTTGGGAAAATGAACCTTTGGGAAATACAATCTGAAATTGTTTTGCTTAGTAAGAAAGAAAAGATCTTATTTGAGACAAACAAAAAAGATATTACTATGAGGGGAAAAAGAGTTAAGGAGGGATGTTCTGATACAAAAGATCTTACAATGTTTAAGATCTGACACTTTGCTTCATTCTTCATACTTAGGGAGTATGAAGATCAAGTCTTAGTGTGTATGAAGACCTGAAAAAAATCTGGAAGATTAGTAAAATGACTTTTCACTTGATAGCAGAAGAATAAGGAAGAGAAACTTTTACTTAAATCATTAAGCTATCATAATTTTAAAATTCTCTCTAATAAGGTAATTTAGTAGATATTGTAACTTTTTTAAGGAAAAAATGATAGGATTTGGACTATAATGTTTTATTTGGTTCAAGGAATAAAGGTAAACCAGACTAAATACTATAACCAAAAGTTCAGAATGAGTGAAGTATCGAAAGAAGTAAGAAATCTCACTTCAGGCAAAAGCAAAAAAATAGTATAGATTAAAATATAGAAATAATAGTTAAATATTTAACAGTTCACTTAAAGTATTTTTCTTAGTTGTAATTACAATATCGAGATTTGTTATACTCTTTTTAATTTATTTGTATTTAAATAAATAGCACAGTTAATAAAAATTTCCACTTCATTGCTTCTTGGTCTTTTGGCTAAGATCAAGTGTAAAAATTTCCATTTCAAAAGGAAAAATAATGACGGTGGATGATTTGAAATCCTTAAAGGAATAATAAGTACTACCTGGATGATCATATGAATGTTTTGATGATGAAAAATTAATGGCCATAGAATGCCACATTCATTTATATGCAGGGGCAATAGGTCAACTGGGATATTTCAATGAGGAATTCAGAAATAAATAGTTTTTTTCTTCCCATGAAATAAATGACAATTAACTTATTTTATTATTATTATTTTTTGAGTTTTGGGTCACTTCTGGCAATGCTCAGGGGTTATGTCTGGCTCTACACTCAGGAATCACTTCTGGCAGTGCTCAGGGTTGACCGTGTGCAAGGCAAACACCCTACCCACAGTACTATTACTCTTGGCCCAAATGCCAAATAACTTTAAAAGCTTACTTACTTTTTACTTAAACTTTTTTACTTAAATTTTTACTTAAATTTTTAAATTTAAGTTGTAAATTTTTAAATTTAATTTTTGCTTAAAAAAAACCCTACACATAAAATTAATCACTTTTCTATCTTCAAATAGCTTTCCATAATGAGCTTTGGGTCAAGACTTACAGATCATTTTCCAAACTTCCAGAATAAATAATGTTAATGCTTAAAATTCTAAGGGCCAGGAATATGGCTCAGTGACAAAGTGCAAGCTTTGGATGAGACCTGGGTATAAGTCCCCTTACTCAAAAAAAAAAAAATCCAAAAAAACCCCCAAATCTCCCCACAAAACCTAAGGAGGGGCTGGAGAGATAGTACAAGGTAAGGTAAGGCATTTGCCTTGCACACGGCTGATCCAGGTTAGCTTCTTGATACCCTGTATGATTTCCTGAGCCCTGGCAGGAGTAATCCCTGAGCACAGAGCCAGGAGTAACCCCAGGGCACAAGGTGTGGCTCCCAAACTAAAACAAAACTGAAAACCCACAACAAAATATAAAAATATTAAAGTTCTGTGCAAAATACAAGATCTACATAACTATTAAAAAGGGTAATATAAAAACATCAATAAATTATTCAAAGATTATATTGAAATGCTAAGTATAAATAATAGTCTTAATAACTAGTTACCAATATTCTTAATCTCAATATTATAGATGCTAGAATCTACTCTTCATGTTGCTTAAAAATATGTTTGTGATTGAGCAAAAAAAAATTATTTAATTCACAGCTGGTGATGCTCCTTTAGGTATGTACTGGGGGGTAGAGGGGCTGTGGGGGCAGCCAAATTATCTACATCAAGTTTTTCAAAGCTCGTGAAATTTTTAATAATTTGGTAACCAATTTCTGAATTCTGAAGTACACATCCTCTCCAATTGTGGCATTTCACTCCACCAACAATAGTAAATGTAGGTATGGGAGAAGTCTATAGGATAAGCAATTAACAGGGACTGGCAGGTTTGGTTTCTGATGTCCACATATTATGTTTTGTTCATCAAGTAGGCCATCGTGCCTCTGATGCACACTGATATACTAAGATTCACATTTCCCCACTATACTGAAAAACTCTCTTAAGTCAGAAGGTGTTCTTGTGTTTATTAGTAAACACATATGTATACATACCTATCTCCAGCCTCTCTCTCCTCCCAGACCCCTATTTACTCGTGACTCCATTCACACTCACATTCATTCTTCATTGCTCTTACCATGGGCAGGTCTTTTAGGATCTGTATTCCATCTCCTGGACCCATGTGTGCTATATGGTTAAAATTAGTTGGGTTAGAAATTAATTTATTTCGCATTTCTGGATCTCGCAGCATCTCTCTGTAAAATAAAACACCCAACCTAGATAACTTTGAAAAATATTAAGAAGTTAACTTTTTTATAAAACCAAACTGTGAAGGCATGTTAATAAGTATACAATTAAGAAAACAAAAAAACTTAATTAAAAACCCTAAATTAGGAAATTAGAAGATTTTGTTTTAGATTTCAAATTAAAAGGACTTAGAATTTTTGGGTAGAGCTGCTCATGTAGTATTTAGATAACAAAGAAGCTCTACTCTACAGATAATTTACCATTTTATGTTTGTCAATTTTAAAATAAACAATAACGGGCTGGAGAGATGTATAGCGAAAAGGGTGCTTAGTTTGCATGAGGCTGACCCAGGTCCAATCCCTGGTACCCCCCTACACCCTGAGTCCTGTCAGGAGTGATCTCTGAGCACTGCCATGTGTGGCTCAAAAAAACCAAACCAAACAACCCCCCCCAACCCCAAAATACATAACATTTTAGAAATGTTTTTATACTTAACTGGAAATTTTACAAGCCTGTTTCTGTTTGCTCATGAACAGAACAGCTAATCTGAAATTCTAAAACATACAGGCTTAATACATGCACAAATAATTCTATGTATTGGAGAAAACTCCACAATCTGAGAACTGTTCAATATATAGGGAAGTGAATCAATATATTGTACTTTAATCCATAACTTGGATTAGAACTCATTAACTTTGATAATACTGATTGAAACTACACTGACTAGATTGAAGATTTAACACCATCGATGAATGACAGATTTTCAGAGATCAAGTTTTCCTTCCAAGTCAAATATAGCAATATTACCAAATAATTCTTCTGAGGCTACAACTGCATACAGATACATGAGTATATCAAATATACACCTCCAGAATGAGGGGACATTTTGGTGGAGGGTGTGGTATTGTATGTATGATAGCCTATGATTAATAATATTAAAAATCATGGGCTGAAGTGACAGCACAGCGGGTAGAGCTCTTGCCTTGCACTCAGCTGACCCAGGCTGACCTGGGTTCTATTCCTCTATCCCTCGCGGAGAGCCCAGCAAGTTACCAAGAGTACCAAGCCCTCACAACAAAGCCTGGCAAGCTACCTGTGACATATTCCATGTGCCAAAAACAGTAACAAGTGTTGTTACTGGTGCCTGCTCGAGAAAATCGATGAACAATGGGAGGACAGTGCTACAGTGCATGTTGCCAAAAATAAAATAAAAAAATTCACCTCCTCTGTTGCATTCTTTCCTCTTCTGGAACTCTGAAGGAATAACGCCGCTTATTGTTAATGTTTCTAACCATTTGTTTCCGACTGTTATCTGAAGTTTCAGGAACTACCAGTTCGTCTCCTTCTATTAAAATAAATACAAAGAATAATGGTTTTCTTTGAATACTAAAATTCTTACTCATTAAAGCCAAAGATACTAACACCTGGATAAATTATGTAAGTATACACAATTTTTAAAATTTGTTACCATAAGTAACTATAGTAAATAAGGAGAAACTACCAACAAAACATATAAATATATGACTGCCAAAATCAAACAGCTTATGAAGTAATTCCCATTTTGATTATAAACAAAAGTGGTTAATTTTTCTTGAAGGAAAAAGAAAGATATTGCCTGGGTATCCTAACACATTGGTCAATTCTCTCCCACCCCAAAAATCTCTCTGTTATCTTCTTTCTGCCATTAATTATTTTCAATAGCACATTGGGTTAAAAAGCACTAAATGTTTAATCAGCAGACTAATAAGGCATAAATAGTAAACCATTCTTTTAAGTAACAAAAATTATGATTATTTTACATATTAAAATATTTCCTTTGCCAGATCTAATCTGCAAAATGTGAAGTAAAGAAAATGAGTCAGGCTCCTACTAGCCTCCTTTCTAGCATCTGTGCTATCTCCCTGGCTACAGAATTTCTATAGATAAGAATGTGAAACACAATTATGGAATATGTGAGAGTAAAGATTTTGGTGAGCTACAGTGGCCACAGGAAATCTTGGACAACCTGAGGGCTGCAGGACACTTTGACCTCTAAGAGACAAAGAGTTAAAGAATGTCAGGAGGGAAAAAAGGACCTCTTTCCTCTGAAAGAACGGAAGGCAGCAGTACTGTCATTTTGACAGTTTTCGTTTTCCTAGGCTTCACCTTACTCCTAGTCTAGATATAAAGATGATAGCATAGGAAAAAGTACGTTGGAACGGTTTTATCTTATAGATATGTATAACAGACACATTTGTAATGATCATGGTCACACACCATAAGCACAGGACAAATTCAATTTTCTAAAAATATTTGTAGTTCTAAGAAATAGGTACAAAATACAGTACAGGGTCTTAGAAATGAGGGTCAAAACTTGAGTTGCATTAGCCTCACGGTAAAATCATCTCTGGATGAACACCAGTTCTAAAACCTCAACATGACTTTCTTAGAGTCATTCTGGAATATCCTCTTGGGCATAGGATTTCTCCCACAGCTGTCAGTCTGAATAATCAGAACAACTTCCAGTGACAAGGTAAGGTACCAGAGCATTAGTTGGGTCAAATATTTGTGTATCTTAGTATTTTAAAATAAATTCTGATGGAATTTATTTAGATAAAATATATAAATAAATTGTAAGAAATAAAGAGAAAAGGAAAAGCATAAAGAAGACAATCCCACTACACAGAGATAATTCGTACAATCTGTCATGTTAAAGTGTTTTCTGATGCCAATGTTTTAATTCACATTTAATCCAATTAAAAATTTTCTATATATAATGTACCCCAAGTACAACTTCATCAAATTGTTCTACCATAAAATTATGAATACTTCTGTTATGTACATTTGTTGCTAGGACATGAGAATGTCCTATTAGGTAGAAGAAGACATTATATATTTTTCAGTGAAATTTTTACTGAAATTTGTTCTCTGACTGGAACACTACGTATCTCACCCCATGTGGACATGGCTGTGATCTCCTCACACCTGGGAAATTGGATCATTTTTTCTCTGTAGTGTTCCATTTCCTCTCCTGATTCTAGCATTCCTGAGACATTTCTCTCTTCCCTGCTTTTGCCCAAGTCATCAACACTTTACAGAGTCTCAGCTTTACGTATTGACAGAAAATTGTAAAAGTCCCAAAGTGGGACTCTAGATGAATTTTCATTAATTTTAGTTCTACAAATTTTAGCGCTACAAATTTTCGCAGTTAGGGTCTACAGCTATGTTTGTTTCCCAAAGTGGGTCAAATAAATTTGAGAAACTCTGCTCTACAGTAGAAAAAGCTCCTCTTACTATGCCAAAGAAACATAAGGTGTATCTGGAAGTATGTTACACAGCTGTGTAAGTTTAAAAAGAACTTTTTTTTTTAATGCAATGACTTATCTTTATCTATTGAGAAAATATGACAGTGGTCCACTGTTGAATAACATTGGGTTGTCCTTGCTCCTCCTGCAGAGAGCTTAGGTTTATTGAGTTATTTCCACAACAGTGCCCCTGATGCACACCCAATTTCATCAGGCACTGATAATCTTATATTGCTTTTCTCCTTCCTTTATGTGAGTTGCATGGCTTATTTGGCAATGTCCTTTATGTACAGACACAGGAAGACAGTTGATGCTATGCTTCTGTAACATAAGAATTAATTGACTCCAAATATTTACTCCTGGGCATCCATCATATTTAACTGACTTAAACCTCAGTTGCCTTTACTTCCTAACACCCCCAAAAGAAGGGTCCCAATGAAGGACTGGACGGACCCAGGACAAGCTGCAAACTACCCTGGCATCGGAAAGGGACAAGCACTGTAACTATAGTAAGTTAAAAGCATGGTCATGGAACAAACTCTGTCATGACCCAAAAAGAAGTAACTGAGTAAGGACCCTGCTGGGGTTAGGAAAAACTAACCTGGACTGAGGACTATGGTCTAGAATATATAGCAAGATGTCACCAGGAAGAGCCAACCTTTATGCTTAATATATCTCTTACTGTGTTCATACAAAATGACTAGAAATATTATAAGAAGTAAATTCACTATGATTTTTTAAGTGGATTACTAGCTAAGGAAAGGAGAAAGCAATAAACCCTAGATGGAATCCCACCCTTGAGCAAACCTCCTAGTAATCTGGAGTGCTAATAAACCCTCAGATAAGATTTTGTCCTTGAGTTAATCTCTGAGAACTTTCCCTGAAGAAGTGGCTTTACATCTGTTTGTTGTTATGACAATGTTTAACCCCACTATGCATACCCCACACTTCATGATTTCTATATACGTATGTTGTAAGGGGTAAGACGGGATTAGACAGTGATTAGAAAGATAAGGACTGAATGATGACTAGAAGAGAAGGACTATGAAAATGAGAACTAAGAGGTCTATGATGATGACGAGGACGAGAAAACTATGATGACTGGGACTATGATCAAAACTACAACTATATTGTGCTCTAAGGGGAGAGATTATACTGCGCTGGGGAGGAAAGAGAAATAAACTGACTACCAACAAGCATGGGGCCTTATTTCTCTGTTCCCCCAGTCCTTTGTCCATCCATTGCTGTGGGCCAGCCAGGGGAACGGCTCTTGGCCACTGAACACTTGAGTTCCTCGTGCCTTTCTTTGGATACTCACAGTCAGTAGCACAGACCTTAGAGTAACATACAACTAAATTTCAATGTGGGCTCCGTCATTTGTTATCTTCAGGAAGTGGCTTAAGGAGAATATATTCATTGAACCTGGCCTATGAATTTGTACTTTCTTACCTGCCATCTTATTTTTGAAATATATTAATCTAATTGTCTCCAATCCCAAAAGATTTAATGATCCTTCACTGTTTAAGGGTCGAACCTAAAATTATACAAAGTATAAAATTAGCATTTCAACAAAAGCATCAAAAATTAGATCATGAAACTTTTAGCTTACTTATAAAGCACACACATTTTATTAAGAGTTTATCATACCTCTTTGAAATAAAGCTTTCTCAGGAAATCAACAAAAAGTTAACATTTATCAGGAATGTATATAAAACACTCGGATTTGATAAAAGTCCTAATACCAACATTTTAAAGAAAGAATATTCTGGGCAAAAAAGGGACTAGGAACACATTTTAATCTTAAATTTGAATTTTTTAAACACATTAAGTGACCAAATAATTGCACTAGTGTTTCAATGTAGCCACTTATAAGTCTCTTATTTACATTGACTATAAATATAGGACAGAGCTAAAATTGTCCATCAAAGGGAAAAGAAAGAACAGTCAACAGACGGTTATGAGGCAGCTGGTGATCTGGGACAGATGCAAGTGAATCTCCACTTCATACAAAATCCCAACATCAATCCCAAGTGAGCCAAAAACCTCAATGTGATCAGCAAAACTTTGAAACTTTTGAAAAAAAAAACAAAGATTTTACCTTAATGAATTTGATAGCAAGTATCTTAAGCGAGAGATAAGAGGTAAATATAAAGGGTGACAATACAGTCAACTATGTGGGGCCAGAAAGATAGAATCACAAGCAGAGAGCTTGCTTTGCATCCCATACGGCCCCCTCGGTGGAGTGATCTCTGAGCACAGAGTCAGGGGTAAGTCCTGAGCACTCCAGGTGGTGATCTCAAAACAAAAACAAAAACAAAAAAATCCAAACAAACACAAAACCCCAACAATATAGCTGATCACAGTGAAATTTATAACAAAATTTTAGCAAAACAGTGTAATTATTATTTTATAACAATAATTTTTTGTGTACTACAACATATAAATGGATAGGTCACAAACCTATAAAAGAATCACCATACCTATTGCTAACCTAATATTCATAAAGAATTCCAGGGGCTGGAATTGATAGTATAGCAGCTAAGGTGCTTACCTTGCACAAGACTAACCTGGGTTTAATTTCCAGCATCCCACATCCCCTGAACCCTGCCAGGAGTGAGCCCTGAGCACAGATCCAGAAGCAAACTCTGAGCACTCCTGGATATGACCCAAAACCAAGACCACAGTAACAACAAAAAAAGGATTTCAGTAAATCAACAGGAAAAAAAAAAGAGACTTCACAGGAGAGGAAATATGAACAAATAATAAATATACAAAAGATATGACCAACACAGTTAACTGGAGACATGTAAATTAACAACAATATATTATTTGATAACTATTTGTAATAGTTATGAAACAATGAATTCTCGCCATGTCACGTAGTACAGGAGACACATGTAAGAGTTCATGTATACATGGAGGAGCTGGAGCCATAGTTCTGTGGGTAAGATGTTTTGCCCTGCACACGGCTGACCTGAGTTTGATCCCTGGCATCTCATATGGCTCCCATCACTACTGCCAGGAGTGATCCCTAAGCGTAGGGTGTTTGTTCCCCAAACCAAAATCAAATAAACAAAAACCAATCAAACACCATCACCACCACCACCAACAACAACAACAAAAATGCAAAAAACCCCATGTACTACCGGTGGGAATGTCTCAAATGGTACAACTACTTTGGAAATCATTTTGACCCTATCTTATCAAGTAGAACATGTACCTTCCCTTGTGTTTTGTCGATTCTGTTTCTAGGCATATGATTTAAGGGAACTCCTGCACATAAGCACAAGATGACACATGTAACAAACACAGAAGAAATAATTAAAATGTCTCCTAATTACAAAGCAGACAAAAAACCCCCACTGCCTTAACTAAATATTTTATAGTTATGAAAAGCAGTGAGCTATGTACTGCAGTTATAATGCAGATGAGTCTTTCTTTTTCTTTCATTGTACTGAATACCATGATCTCCTACGCCCACTTAGGGTACCCCCAAACCAGTTTCTTCTGCTAATGAAAGGCAGGTCAGGACCACATGGAGAGTACCATGCCCTGATGAGCAGAGATGAATCCTTAGAAACAGAAAGTGTGTGAAGAAAAAAATAAGATGGGAGATAATATGCAATATAACTTTTGTTTTTATTTTTGTGCCACAGTGGTTACGGGTAGGGCTGTGCTCTGGGATCACTCCTGTTGGTGCTTGGGGCTTAAATTAGGGTCTGTTGTGAGCAAGTAGCACATTTCCTCCTATCCTCCTATATTCTCTATGGCCTATGACATAACATATAATAATTTCAAACGCAAGTAAAACTGAATGACCTATATCTAAAAGTATTTAACCATGAAAAGAAATCTGGATTTTAACAAAATCAGATAAAACTCACAAACCAGAGGATCATATTTAATTTCTCAATATCATATGGCAATATATATAAAAGCCAACAACTTTTCAAGTGCTGACTTTTTTAAAAATTGGGAATGATTTTGAATTAGGATATAGGGTATTTTATCTATTTCTCTAAACCTGACCTTTAACTAATGATACATACTACATATAATATGCAGTATTTATATGAAACTATTAATATTCATGTTTGCAAAATAACTATGCTAAACATAGTCTCTTCATGTTATTACTGGGAAATATAGAGAAAATGTAATGCTTTATTAGTAATGTGAAACTTTAATTTTTTTACTTATGATATCTTCCGCCCCTCTTGGAGAGCCTGGCAAGCTACTGAGAGTATCTCGCCCGCACAGCAGAGCCTGGCAAGCTACCTGTGACGTATTCGATATGCCAAACACAGTAACAACAAGACTCACGATGGAGACGTTACTGGGCTTGCTCGAGCAAATCGATGAACAACGGGAGGACCGTGACCGTGACTTATGATATGTTAAGGTAAGGTAAGGTAAAGGCCCTCCCGTTGATCGTCGATTTGCTCGAGTGGGCCCAGTAACGTCTCCATTGGAGACTTGGTTGTTACTGTGTCTGGCATATGGAATACTCTCGGTAGCCTGCCGGGCTCTCCGAGAGGGGCGGAGGAATCGAACCTGGGTTGGCCTTGTTGGCCGCTTGTAAGGCGAACGCCCTACTGCTGTGCTATACAACTTTTATTCTGGTAATCAGTTTTCTAGGCAGTGAAATACACTCTAACAGTATTAAAAATTACATATGACTATGTAATTTTTAGGGGCCAGAAAGACAGTACAGAGGCTAAGGTGTTTGTCTTACATGTGGCCAACCATGGTTTGAATTTTGGGTGTCACATATGGATCCCAGCACTACAGAAGTCACTCCTTTGCACAGGCCCTTGAGCACTTCTGGATGTGGCCCCAAACAAAATACTACATCATCATAATATCATCATTATATACTCCCTCAGAGATCCTTAAACTAAAGAGGAAGATGACACTGATATTTAGTTTGTAAGATGTATTTTAGTTATTCAATATAATCATACTCACATCAATATTATAATAAAGTAAAAACTAAATATAAAAAGAATGGCATGTTTTTGAGCTACTTATACAATTAACCAGCTTGATTTAACAATTTTAAGTTACACTGAGTTAAAGTTTTAAGTGTATGGTAAAGATATTTTGCATCTAATTCAACATCTGTATAGATTTCACCATGATCATCATCAAAACTCCAAAAACTTGATTTTTGTTTTCACTTTTAGCTAAGTATCAAATTATCAGTTACACATGGTATAAAATGGTGAATTAGTGAAAAACAGTTATTTTAGTTTTTCACTTACACTCATTAGTTTGCTTAGCCCTTAATTTAATGTCAGGTTACCTTTTTGAGAGGGAGAGTCTGAATCCATTCCATGGAGTTCACATCAAAAACATCAACTGCATTTTCACTATACACTGAGAGATAGGGCGCATTGTAACCTGGGGAAAGGGAAGGAGGGAACACAATAACAATGACTTTTGACCTTTACACATGACATTTTGAAAGATTTTTGTGCTAAAAAACACTTTTTATGAAAACCCACTAAAATTCTGAGTGACCATATAAAAATTTTCTAGGGTCACGGTCACGGTCCTCCCATTGTTCATGGATTTGCTTCAGTGGGCCCAGTAATGTCTCCATCATGAGACTTCTTGTTACTGTGTTTGGCATATTGAATACATCATGGGTAGCTTGCCAAGCTTTGCCGCGCGGGCGAGATACTCTCGGTAGCTTGCCGGGCTTTCGGAGAGGGGTGGAGGAATCGAATCTGGCTTGGCCAGGCCAGCTGCGTGCAAGGCAAACGCCCTACTGCTGTAAACCTTCTAGGGTAAAGAGAAAAAAAACCCTTTTAGGGTAAAGAGAAAAAAAAAAACTTAAATGAAAAGTGGACATACCAGCAGTCAAATTTTATAGCCACAAAGGATTCTGTTAACATGTCCCCCAAAAAAGGTATAAAGGAATTCCTTTATGTTTGGAAGTATTTAATTCCTAAAATAGTTAAGCCACTGATAGTGAAGAAAACTTTGAAAAAGTAGAAAAATCTTTAGGTAAGAGTTAGTTATGAAGCACATGGCATGGTCTTAAAAATAGGGGAGATGCTTAATACACATTAACTGAAAAAAAAAGAACATCCACAAATGGCGAAAAGCAAAGGGAGATCAAATGTTTTGTTTAAACTAACCTCACAAATTAAATTATTGGCAGGTTATAAAAGCCAGATATTCCAATTCCTACTCCACTTCAGAAATAATAATTACCACTTATGATTGTCCCAAAATACAACAGAGAAAAATCCTTCAGTAGAATAAGAAAGATTAGCTGTAGTTATGTGAAAAGAAACAGCATAATTAGTTTTTAGGAAAATCTTAAGGATGGCTTAACATAGAACTTGTTATGAGTAATGCATTCATATAGGAGAGTGGAAAGAAAAATAAGAAAGATAAAGACTACCAAAAGTAAGATAATCTTACAACAAGAAGAAGGATTTGCTGGCCACATCAGTTCCTGTTGTCTGGATCTCCGGCCCTGGCAGTCCGTGTAGATCCCAATGCTGTTAAAACACAGCAGGTATTCTTTACTGGAGATCTCAACTGCGCAGATGGCATCCATTGGCTGATGTGCAATAAATGACAGTGTGTGGTCATTTGAATGGAGCATACTGTATGGACTTCCTTCTCCATTCAGGGGGTACCTTAGAAATCCTGACTGGAATCCCACACAGAGTTGTTCACTGAAGATTGCCATCCACTGGACATTATATGGGACTTGAATTTCCTTAAATTTTCTGTGACGGGTCTTGCTCTGAAGTAGTTCATAACAGAGGACCTGCCTTTTCATGGCCACACATAGGCAAGTGAGTGCTCCATGATGCAGTTTTCCTGAAGTTATAGTTTGACACCCTTTAGTTTCTGCCAGCTTGTAAAAATCAGTCTCTCGCCCATCCAAAGCTGACATAGGAAAAAGTCGTACATGACGATTTCGTCCTGAGATCACAGCAAAAAGCTGATCACTTGGAATGAGTTCAATTTGATGAATCTTCTTATTGTCACCAACTCTAATAATTTCTGTGCAAAGCAATAATAATGTACTGAATATGAAATAATGTTCATAAGTCATAATTATACTACATAGGTGATACACCAACTTATAATAATAAAGGCAAAGGTACATACAAAGAGGAAAGACATATCAGAAATCAAAAGGAGGCACAGGAAGATAACTACCACAATTACAAGATAAGCTAACCCACCTACAATAATGCACTAATTCAGCTTTAGATTTCTGGTAGTAAAGGCAAAGGTTCATCATGTAATAAGGTATGCCATGTTTTTCAAGAAAAGTCTTATTACTGGCACTAAATTCTAGAAAATGACCATAGGCTTCCTATTATTGAAAACTGAGTAACTCATATTTAACTAACAGTGTTAATGAAATGAAATTACACAAGAAAGTCAGTGCACACTTGGAAGTTTCAGAACTCGAAGAAAAAAAATAAGCTGAGGATTAGCAGAAGTTTAATAATTATCTTTTGACTTGTAAACACATTAATTATGGAATATTTAGACAAATTAGATAAAATAAAAATAATCCTGCTCTATTTAGAGACTCTAATATGGAATTTAGAATTTTCTAATGACATACTGTTCAAAGTCATTCCATAGCAATTAAATTTTCTCTTACCATCTTTGGTGACATGCACAACAAATAACCCTTCTTCATTTCCCAAAGCTATTCTTTCATGATCTATATAGGACACAGATATGATACATTTTAAATTAGGTAAAAATTATGTAAAACATGTAAGATAAAACATATAAAGAAATTTGGTACATAGGCAAGAGTAAGAGTAAGGCAGATAGGGCACTTGTCATGTGTGTGGACAAGCTGGGTTCAATTCCCCAGCACCCCACATAGTCCTCTGAACCATATCAAGAGAGATCCCTGAGCAAAAAAATTTGAACTATTAAATTTTCTTTCAAATAAAGCAGTATATATAATCTCAGATTTTCTCAGCTAGAACCATTAAAAATATCCATATCAATATTTATGAAAGGAAGTAAATCTTGATTCAATAAAAATTATAAACCTAGTTTTGATAGTGTCTCGGATCCAGTTCCTTTATTTTAGTAGTAAAAATCTGTAAGTACTATTCAGTTAAATTTTCATTACTTACTAGAAAGTTAAGAAAAAGAGTTGGATGTCTACTTAAGAATATGATAAAAAAAAGTATACATTCAAGCACAAAAGCTGCCATTTGTGGAGGACATCTTTTGTATAAAGGATGCTTTTTTGTTACATAGTCCACCTTACTTGATCTTCCCGATTACCTACACAAAGTATTCAGAATCTATACTTATAAAGGAAACCCGTGCATTAAGACATTAAAAAAAAAACTTGTTCAAAGTCACACAAATTGAAAAATGATTCATTAATTAGTTAATCTTCAGCACTGTTCTTTTTGGGAAAGAAAGCAAGTGTGAGAAATACTTATTCTTGTTTACTGAAAGACAAAGCTCTATTCATTTAATAAACATTGACTGAGCTTCTGAGATATAACAGACTACATTAAACACTTAGATGTCAGTCCCTATTTAGGAGGTACACTAGTAAACAATTATAATGACAAAGGAAATATTTTAAATTCATACCGATGATTGCAGCTGCCTGAGTTGTTTTAATGAGGGGTAGAGTGCTGTCATAAGCTTCTTTGGGCACATAAACGGAACGATCTCTGAATTTGTTTTTCTTCAAAATCTTGTGCAATTCACTCAGCACTCCCACCCACTTATTTTTCTCATTCTCACTATCTGCCAGCATCAGGATTGAACATTTGTTATTGGATGCTGAGAGCTGGGAAGCTGTGACCTAGAACAATTTAATTAAAAATCATAACATTAGAAAACTGATACCCTTTAAGCCAGTGTTGTGATCATGCCAGTTTGTTTAGCAAGTCAACAAAATGAGCATTCATTTAATGATACCTTTAACAAGGTTAGTTATTTCTGCTTAGAATAACTATTTTTAGTTTTAGATTTTATGATAAAGCAGATACCGTTCTAAATGTTAGTATCCTTTTTATTTTCTTTCCCACAACATTCCAAAATACTGTCACTAAAAAATGTAATATACATACTTATATAACAACAGCAACTGACATTTATTGAATAATTACTGAGAATAGGCACTGATCAAAGTATTTTTCCAAGTATTATTTAACCCTCTCAGTATTTTAGGAGGCTTATATGTCAGAAAGACATCCTCTGTTACTTTCTAATAATTACACACTTATTTCACAGAAGATCGTATTACGTGGGACAGTATTTCAATAAAGGTTACCATAATACAAACAGCACTCATAATTAGAACGTAAGTTATGTACATGGATCCCTTATTGAAAATAACTTAGGTATCAGTAACAGTAAAAATCACTATGTGAATCCGTTAAAGTAAGTTTTCTGAAGTTTTCCTTTGTGGTTGGGAACAGAATAAATAGATGCTGGTCTAGGAACTGAAAGACTTAAGCACTGACTTATTTGTTGAGTCAGGCAAAATTAAACATACAGACATTATACTAGGGCAGTCGTCCATTTTAAAAACATTTATTGTTTAAAAAAGATATATACCAGTTCAAATTTGTGCTGTGCCAGATAGCTCCAAAGATGGCTAATAATAATTCCTCCTACAGAGAAATTGGCTTGAGTGATAGCACAGTGGGGAAGGCATTTGCCTTACACGCAGCTGACCCAGGTTTGATTTCTCCATCCCTCTCAGAGAGCCCAGCAAGCTACTGAGAATATCCCATGTTACTGGTGCCTGCTTCAGCAAATCGAGAACAATGGGAGGACAGTGCTACAGTGCTACAGAATTCCATTCTTCTTAAAGAAGTCTATTTCCCTTTCCCTTCAGTTGATGATGATCTCAGGACTTGATCCAACTAACAGAGTGCAGGGGGCTGAGGCCAGTTTTGGGACTAAACCTTAAAAGGTCTGGCAACTCCTTTTGCTCTTGTGGCAGCCAGCCATTGAGAACCCAGCCAGACAACTGAATAATGACAGAGAATATGGAGTGATGCACACAAAAAAACAGAGGTAGCCAGCCCAGTAAACATCCAGTATGAAGGCTTCAGATGTAAAAGCAAAGTTATTAAAGATATTCTAGACTAAAATGAGTTGTATGCAGTCTAACAAGAAACCCCAGTATGTCAATAGCTTAACAACTGTTTAGTTATGATGAGAGATAAATCACTTTTGATTAAAATCATTATATTATGGAGCAGAAATCGCAAAGCAAAATAATTATAACATGCATTAATTTTGGAATGAGATTTTAAAACAAACCTCTATTTTTAAAAATATTGATAACTTTGTACTAATTCTTTTTTTTTGGTGGGGGGAGGAGTTGGGGCTGGTTCAGGAATCACTCCTAGAGATGCTTGGGGGACCACACAGGATGCCGAAGATTGAACCCAGTTCAACTGTGAGCAAGGCAAATAACCTACCCACTGTATTATCGCTCCAATCCCCGCACTAAATTTTCTAAGAGGTGTTATATATTTGAAAACTAACCCAGGACTGAAAAATAAAATAAAAATTATCCAATATCTGCCATACTGAAGCCATGGCAGCTGTACCAATACCCACTGCGATAACCACTAGAAGGGGTCAACTTCACCACTACATAAATACTCTCTGCAGAGATGCCAAACTGCAAATAATTTCAGATACCCCTTTGCTCAGGCTGGTAACTCTGGTGTTTCTCAGAGTTGGGGTGGTGGGTAACGTCCCTCTCCACACGTGTACTTCCGGAAGCCCCAGCAGCCATGCCCAACTCCCACAGCAACCACTGTGTTGGCTCACTGGCCCAGACCAGTGAGTGAAGTCTATGGACCACTCAATATCTCTAATTCCTTAATACTGAAATTCCAGTGGAAACCAGATGGTAAAGTAACAGAGAAGCTAAAGAAACCAACAAAACAAAAACAGTAACACAAATGGTTCAACTAGCAACAAACAGCTTAATTCTTAGACAAGGACTTAACAATCCCATGATCAGATATAACAATTTTCACATAAAACTTATATTTTTATACTTATTGATTTTAATACTGGAGCTTTGATATCTAATCAATTTCAACTCTAGAACTGTATTCAGTTGTGGCTTTTATCTACATTAAAATGAAAAATTACAAAAGAAACAAAATACAAAGAGAAAAAAAATTATCCAAGAGAAAAACTATTAAGAAGTTAAGCATTTGTGCTTTCTATATATGCACCCATACTCAGATACATTCGTGTGTCCTCTAAATGAAGAGGCAAAATCCTTATTTAAAACAAAGAGTTCATGACAAAATTATGGATACACTGTCAAAATACATGTATATATTCACTTATAAATAATTCATGACCAAATTATAAGATACATACTTACTCTAAATATACAGGGTATATCTTTTCGACCTGCGTGAATAACATCAGAAGCCAAAACTGAATTCACAGAAAATTCTTCATCTCTGAAGGAAAAATGAAACATTTAAAGTGATAGGTAGCTCTGAGTGGTTTGGAATGTATCTTTTATTTTATTTTATATTTTTAATTTATTTTTGCTTTTTGGGTCACACCTGGTGATGCACAGGAGTTACTCCTGGTTCATGCACTCAGGAATTACTCCTGGCGGTGCTCGGGGGACCATATGGGATGCTGGGAATCGAACCTAGGTCAGATGCGTGCAAGGCAAATGCCCTACCGGCTGTGCTATTGCTCCAGCCCCTGGAATGTATCTTTTTTTAAAAAAATTTTTATTAGTGAAATACCATGAGGTACAGTTGTAGACTTACAAATTTTTGTGCTTGGGTTTCAGTTATACAATGATCCAGTTGACACTTTTCTCTTGCTTCAATATTGTAATAGACTTCCCTTACAGTAAATTCACTCTTGGCAATTTTTTAAATATGGTCATAAGTACCATCATTCTTTTAGTCTTAGAAATGTGACAACTTAGTTTGATCTTTGATTCTTCTCTATTTCTATATTTAAACCCTATAGCAGGCTCTATCAGATTTTCCTTGCTAATGTTTTGAGCAGTCCATATTAATGGGGAACATAATGTGTTTGTCGCGCAAACAAACAAACAAACAAACAAAAATCGACGAATAACAGGATGATGAAATGATGAAAAAATGAAAATAATGTGTTTGACAAGCTAGAATGAAAAGTCGTATGAGATATATCTAGAATTCTGGATAAATGTTTGTACGGAACATTTATGTCTGGAGTCATTACAGCAGAAGTGATGGTGACTTAAGCTAGGGAAGTACATAAGATCACATATGGAGAGTGCCAGGGACTACAGGGAACGGCAAAGGGGAGTATTGAAGGGGGGAGTTAATGAATGTGGAGAATGAAACCAGAAACATTCAAAAGAAAATTTACCTAACTGTTTACTGATTCTCAAAGAGGAAACCAAAAGATTTCTGGAGGCAAAGGAGAATGAAGGCACGAGGGAGTTATCAGAACTTATGTTATTCGTCGATTGCCTCGAGTAGGCCCCAGTAACGTCTCTTTCATCCTAGCCCTGAGATTATATTCAAGGCTCTTTAGGAGAATGAGACCCATCATTGTTACTGGTATTTGGCATATTTGGTACGCCACGGGGAGTTTGCCAGACTCTGCCCTGTGGGCAGGCTACATTCGATAGCCTGCAAGTTTGTCCAAAGTAGGAATGAGATAATAAGATGTCATAAAGAAAAGTTCTGATAAGATGTCGCGCGGATTTGCGGCCGCGCGGTTCCGGGAACTGGATTTTATAGTCTCTGAGTCTTGGCCGTTGATGGGATTACACGCCGCCAGGGGGCCAGGTGGTGGGTGTGACCCCCGCCTACTGGAATTTGGAGGATCTGGGTGGAGGATGCTCGTCTCCAATCCGAGTAGGCTTGGAGGTCTCGGCCCCGGAACCCGCGTGGATTTGTCAGAACTTATGGGACACAGCAAAAGCTGTGTTGAGAAAAGTTTACAGCTCTAAAGCATTCCTCAGGAAGAAAGAGTGAGCCCACATAAGTAACCTAAATTAATGAGATGGAAGTCCAAAAAAAAAAAAAAAAGAAAACAATCCGGAAGATCAATGAAACCAAGAGCTGATTCTTTGAAAAAAATAAAGATCGATAAGCCTCCAGGAGGACTCACAAAGAAAGGGAGAGAGAAAACCCTAATAAACAGAATCAGAAATAAAAAGGGGGTACATCACAAAGAAACTACAGAAATTCAAAGCATCATCAGAGATTATTTTGAGAATCTTTATGCCACAAAACAAGAAAACCTCAAGGAAATGGATAAATCATAAATTCCTACAGCATCCCAAGGCTTAAACAGAGAACTTGAAGTACCTGAACAGATCTATCAACACCGAGGAAATTGAAACAGTAATAAAAAGTTTCCCCCAAACAAAAGTACTGGCCCAGGTAGATTGACTAGTGAATTCTTCCAAATCTTTAAAGAAGACCTACTCCCAATCCTCTTTAAGCTTTTCCAGGAAATTGAAGAATCAGAAACACTTCCAAACAGTATCTATGAAGCAAATATCACCCTGATACTAAGAGTAGACAAAGATACCACAAAGAAAGGGAATAACAGGCCGGGATCACTGATGAAAACAGATCCAAAGATTCTTGACAAAATCCTAGCAAACAGAATCCAATGACTCATCAAAAAGATCATACACCATGACCAAGTAGGATTCATCCTGGGGATGCAGGGATGGTTTAACACTTGCAAGTCAATCAGCATAATCCATCATATCAATAAAAGAAAAGATGAAAAACATAGGATCTTACTAACAGATTCAGAAAAAAGCATTTGATAAAATCCAGCATCTGTTCAGGATAAAAACTCTCAATAAAATGGGAATTGAAAGCTATTCTCAGTATAGTCAAAGCCATCTACCACAAGCCCGCAGCAATTATTATTCTCAATGGGGAGAAACTAAAAGCCTTCCCACTAAGATTGGGGACAAGACAAGGTTAACCATATTCGTGACTTCTATTCAATATAGTACTGGAAGTTCTTGCCATAGCAGTTAGGTGAGAAAAACATACCAAGAGCATACAGATAGGAAAGGAGGAAAACAAGCTCTCACTATTATCAGATGACATGATACTATACTTAGAAAATCCTAAAGACCCTAAGAAAAGCGCCTAGAAACAACAGGTCTGTAGAGTAAAGTGGCAGGCTAAAAAATCAACACCCAAAATATATACAAATAATGAAAGAGAAGAAAGAGATACTAAAAAACCTAAAAAACTATCCTGTTCACAACAGTGCCTCAGAAAATGAAGTGCTTCAGAATTAGCTTAACTAAAGAGATGAAGAACTGTTACAAAGAAAATTACAAAACGCTATTTCAGGAAATAAAACAGGACCCTAGAAAATGGAGACACATCTCCTGCTTGTGGATCCGCAGGATTAACACTGTTAAAACGGCAAAACATTATACAGAATCAATGCGGTCCTCATAAGGATATTCACGACATTCTTCAAAGAAATGGACAAAACAGTCCTGAAATTCATATGGAACAATAAACCTCCACGTGCATAGCTAAAGCAATCCTTGGGAAAAACAAGATGGGTGGAATCACCTTTCTCAACTTCAAACTATACTACAGAAGTAATTAAAACAGCATGGTATTGGACTAGAAACAGACCACAGACCAATGAAACAGAGCTGAATATTGTCACAGACTCTCAAATATATGATCACTTAATCTTTGGTAAAGGAGCAAGAAGTGTAAAGTAGAACAAAGAAAGCATCTTCAACAAGTGGTGCTGGGAAAACTGGACAGCCACCTACAAAAAAATGAACTCAGACCTCTATCTAATGCCAGGCACAAAAGTCAGATCAAAGTGGATTAAAGACCTCAAAATCAGACCTGAATCCATAAGGTACATGGAAGAAAATGTAGACAGAACCCTCCATGCATGACATTGAATCTAAAACCATCTCTAAGGATGAAACACCACTGACCAAGCAAGTGGAAACAAGCATAAACAAATGGGACCACGTCAAACTAAGAAGCTCCTGCACCTCAAAAAGAAAGACTGACCAAAATACAGAGAGAGCCCACTGAATGGGAAAAATTATTTACCCAATACCCATTTGATAAAGGGTTAATATCAATGATATAAAAGTCATTAGTAGAACTGCACAAATAGAAAAAGAAACTCCAATCCCATCAGAAAATGGGGAGAAGAAATGAACAGAAGCTTCCTCAGAAAAGAAATACAAATGGCCAAAAGGCATATAAAAAATGCTATACATCAATAATCATCAGAGAGATACAAATCAAAACAGTAATGAGATATCTCAAGTCAGAGACTGGCACACGTCCCAAAAGAACAAAACAACCATTGTTGGTGTGGATTCAGTGAGAAAGTAACTCAGATACTGGTGGTGGGAATGCTGACTGATCCAGCCTTTTTGGAAAACAATATGGACATTCCTGAAAAAAACTTGAAATTGAGCTTCCATACGACCCAATACTGCTCCTGGGAATATACCCTAACAGCAAAAAACACAAAGCAGAGAAGCTCTCTGCACTCATATATTCATTGCATCACTATTGTTTTCTATTTTAAATGTATAGTAGTTTTATTTTATTTATCTTCTATTGAATCACCATAAGATAGTTACAAAGCTTTCATGTTTGAGTTTCAGTCATACAATGATTGAACACCCATTCCTCTACCAGTGCACGTTTTCCACCACCAATGTCTCCAATACTTCCTCCCCCTGCCCCACCCTAGCCCGATCCCACCACTCACCCTGTCTCTATGGCAGACAATTTCTCCGATACTCTCTCTTCACTTTTGGGCATTATGGTTTGCAATACAGATACTGAAAGGCTATCACGTTCGGTCCTTTATTTTCAGCACACATCTACTATCCCGAGTGATCAACCCAACCATCACTGACTTAGTGCTCCCTTCTCTAGCCCAGCTGCCTTCTCCCCCAGCTTATGAGACAGGCTACCAACCATGGAGCAATATTCTTGCCCTCTATCTACTGTCCCTGGGTGTCAGTGTCATAATCTGTTATTTTATATTCCACAAATGAGTGCAATCCTTCTATGTCTGTCCCTTTCTTTCTGACTCATTTCACTTAGCACGATACTCTCCATGACCATTTACAAGCAAATTTCATGACTTCATCTTTCCTAACAGCCGCATAGTATTCCATTGTGTAGAAGTTACCAAAGTTTCTTTAAGCAGTTATCTGTTCCCAGGCACTCGAGTTGTTTCCAGATATGGCTATCGTGTACAGTGCTGCAATGAACATACAAGTGCAGATGTCAGTTCTACTATGCTTTTTTACACCCTTGGGATATATTCCCAGAAGTCATATTGTAGGGTCATATGGAAGATCAATTTCTAGTTTTTTGAAAGAATGTCCATATTGTTTTCCACAAAGGCTGGATCAGTCAGCATTCCCACCGACGCTGAGTGAGTGTCTCTTTTTCCCCACATCAGCGCCAGCACTAGTTGTTCATATTCTTTTGGGACGTGTGCCAGTCTCTGTGGTGTGAGATGATACCTCACTGTTGTTTTGATTTGCAGGTCCCTGATGTTTAGTCATATGGAGTTCTTATTCATGTGCCTTTTGGCCATTTGTATTTCTTTTCTGAGGAAGCTTCTGTTCATTTCTTCTCCCCATTTTTTGATGGGATTGGAGTTTCTTTCTCTATTTGTGCAGTTCTACTAATGACTTTTATATCATTGATATTAACCCTTTATCAAATGGGTATTGGGTAAATAATTTTTCCCATTCAGTGGGCTCTCTCTGTATTTTGGTCAGTCTTTCTTTTTGAGGTGCAGGAGCTTCTTAGTTTGACGTGGTCCCATTTGTTTATGCTTGTTTCCACTTGCTTGGTCAGTGGTGTTTCATCCTTAGAGATGGTTTTAGATTCAATGTCATGCATGGAGGGTTCTGTCTACATTTTCTTCCATGTACCTTATGGATTCAGGTCTGATTTTGAGGTCTTTAATCCACTTTGATCTGACTTTTGTGCCTGGCATTAGATAGAGGTCTGAGTTCATTTTTTTGTAGGTGGCTGTCCAGCTTTCCCAGCACCACTTGTTGAAGATGCTTTCTTTGTTCTACTTTACACTTCTTGCTCCTTTACCAAAGATTAAGTGATCATATATTTGAGAGTCTGTGACAGAATATTCAGCTCTGTTCCATTTTTCTGTGGATCTGCTTCTAGTCTAATACAAGGCTGTTTTAATTGTTACTGCTTTGTAGTACAGTTTGAAGTTGGGAAGGTGATGCCACCCATCTTCTTTTTCCCAAGGTTTTTATTTATTTATTTATTATTTATTTTTTAGACTTATAAACTTTCATGCTTGGGTTTCATTTATACAATGATCGAGTACCCATCCCTCCACCAGTGCCCATTCTCCACTTCCAATATCCTAGTAGCCCTCCCACCCCCAAACCCCATCCCCCCAACCCACCCCGCCCCTGTGGCAGGGCATTTCCTTTTGCTCACTCTTTCCTTTAGGGCATAGTTTGCAATAGAGATTTTGAGTGACCATCGTGTTCAGTCTATAGTCTACATTCAGCACGCATCTTGCATCCCAAGCGAGTCCTCCAAACATCCTTTACTTGGTGTTCCCTTCCCTATCTGAGCTGCCGTTCCCCCCAGCATGTGAAGCCAACTTCCAAGCCCTGGAGCAGACCTCCTGGTACTTATCTCAATTATTCTTGGGTGTTTGATGAACATTCTGTTACTTTATATTCCCCAGATGAGTGCAGTCTTTCTATGTCTGACCCTCTCTTTCTGGCTCATTTTATTTAGCATGATACTTTCCATGTAGAACCACTTGTATGTAAATTTCATGACTTCATCTTTTCTAATAGCTGTGTAGTATTCCATTGTGTAGATGAACCAAAGCTTCTTTAACCAGTCATCTGTTCTCGGGCACTCGTTTTTTTCCCCCCAAATTTTGGCTATTGTGAACAGTGCAGCAATGAATATACAAGTGCAGATGTCATTTTGACTGTACTTTTTTGCCTCTCCGGGATATATTCCCAGGAGTGGTATTGCTAGATCAAATGGGAGCTCAATTTCTAATTTTTTGAGAATCATCCATACTGTTTTCCAAAAGGGCTGAACAAGTCGGCATTCCCACCAGCAGTGAAGGAGAGTGCCTTTCTCGCCACATCCGTGCCAACACCAGCTGCTTTTGTTCTTTTGGATGTGGGCCAGTCTCTGTGGTGTGAGATATCTATCTCATTGTTGTCTTGATCTGCATCTCCCTGATGATTAGTGATGTAGAGCATTTTCTCACGTGCCTTTTTGCCATTCAGATTTCTTCTTTGAGAAAGTTTCTGTTCATTTTGTCGCCCCATTTTGATGGTGTTGGATGTTTTCTTCTTGTGGAGTTCAACCAGTACTTTGTATATCCTCAATATCAACCCCTTGTCGGATGTGTATTGGGCAAATATCCTTTTCCATTCTGTAGACTGTCTTTGTATTTTGGTCACTGTTTCTTTTGAGGTGCAGAAGCTTCTTAGTTTAAGATAGTTCCTATTTGTCTATCTCTGTTTTCACTTGCTTGGCCAGTGGTATGTCATCTTTGAAGATACTGTTAGCTTCAATGTGGTGGAGGGTTTTTCCAATCTTGTCTTCAATGTACCTTATGGATTCCGGTCTGATGTTGAGGTCTTTAATCTATTTTGATCTTACTTTTGTACATAGTGTTAGGTAGAGATCTGATCCCATTTATTTGCATGTAGTTGTCCAGTTTTGCCCCAAGGATTGCTTTAGCTGTTCGTGGGGGGTTTTTAGTCCATATGAATTTCAGGACAGTTTTGTCTATTTCTTTGAAGAATGTCATGGGTATTCTGATAGGGACCGTAAGAAATCTGTATAGTGCTTTGGGGATTATTACCATTTTTATAATGTTCAATCCTCCCAATCCATGAGCAGGGGATGTGTCTCCTTTTCCTAGTGTCCTGTTTTATTTCTTGAAGAAGTGTTTTATAATTTTCTTTGTATAACTCCTTCACCTCTTTAATTAAGCTAATTCCAAGGTACTTGATTTTCTGAGGTACTATTGTGAATGGGATTGTTTTATTTATTTATTTACAATTATAAACTCTTTTTTGGATTGAGGTGCTGTAAACAGATTTACAATACTGTTTATGATGGTTTCCTGTGAACAAAATTTCAACACCACATCCATCACCCATGTACCCACTTTCCTCCCCCAAATTCCAATAGACCATCTTTTCTGGGATTGTTTTTTTAAATAGCTCTTTCTTCTCTTTCATTATTTGTATGTAGAAAAGCCATGGACTTTTGGGCGTTGATTTTGCAGCTTGCCATTTTACTCTACAAACCTACTGTTTCTTTTGTAGGGTCTTTAGGATTTTCTTAGTATCAGATGATCTGCAAATAATGATATTTGACTTCTTCCTTTCCTATATGTGTGCCCTTCACTTGATCACTGGATCACTTGACATCCCATTACTCACCGATTCGTTTGAGCAGGTGCCAGTAATGTTTCCATCCATCCCTGTCGCATGGTAGTGTAGCCTAATGGCTTCTGCTCGCTCCAGGAACATGAAGAGCCTCAAACTGATTGTTCAGGGTCTTGACAAAGAAGTCTGACCATCTTGGAGGTGGGCAGCCACACAATCTTTTGACGTCCTGTGGGATCCAGTCGGTAACAACTCTAGTCCAGTGGTCGTCTCCAAATTGCATTACGTGTCCAGCCCATCTGATTTTTGATGCCTTAGCAAACGAGACAGCATCCCTGATTCTTGATCATCGACGGAGGTAGGAACTCTGGCTTCTTTCTCTTATTTGAGTGAAGCATGATACTCCAAGCATAGCTCTTTCAATTCCTCTTGGGAGATCCAAATAGCATTCTTATCCTGTTTTCATAGGGCCCAGGTCTCTCAGGTGTTATGTTAATGTAGGAAGAACAGTGGAATCGAAGAAATGAGCCCGGAGCTGGAGGTTCTTCATCCTCTTAGCTATTTGTGTGCCCTTAATATCTTTTTATTGCCTAACCATTGTATCACTCTTGACAATAGCTAGAATCTGGAAACAACCTGAGTGCCTGAGAACACACGACTGTTTAAAGAGACTATAGAACATCTGCACAATGGAATAATATGCAGCTGTTAGGAAAGATAAAACCATGAAATTTGTCTATAAATGAATGTACATGGAGAATATCATGCTGAGTGAAATGGGTTAGAGACGAACAGACATAGAAGGACTGCACTGATGTGTGGAATGTAAAATATAATATGAGACTAATATCCAAGGACAGTAGAGTCAAGGGCCAGGAAGACTGCTCCACATTTGGAAGCCTGCCTTAAGAGCAGTGGGAGAAGGCAGCCGGGATAGAGAAGGTATCACTATGTCAATGATAGTTGGAGGGATTGCTCGGGATGGGAGATGTGTACTGAAAGTAGATAAGGAACCAAACATGATAGCCTCTCATTATCTACTGCAAATCATAATGCCCCAAAGTTGAGAGAGACCAAGAAGGAAATTTTCCACCATAGACGCAGGAGATGGGGAGGGATACTGGGGACATTGGTTGTGGAAGTTGTATACCAGCAGATGGACGGGTGTTTGATCATCGCAAGACTGAAACTCAATCATGAAAGTTACTTAACTGTATTTCACGGTGATTTAATAAAAAAAAAGTTTATGATTCTTTATATTGTCTAGGAGCTTGACAGATTTTTAATTTTTATTTTGAAGTCTTTCTTCACACTGGAGATATGTAAAACTTTTATAAGAGTATAAAAATACCACACTTCAAATCTTCCTTTTGTGAGCAATCTTTAAATTGGACTACTGGATTCAAACATTAGCTTCATTCCCCTCAACTCCAGTCCTATTACACTCAAAAAACATGTATCAGCCTATCTTGTACCTACACCTTATTTCCTAGAAGGTAATGTAATTATTAAAAATACCCTCTTTACAAAACCATTTTAATTCCTATGCTATAAATGAAGTAATAATGCTAAGCTATTAAAAGTCTTTTTAATTTCTATGCTGTAAAGGCAGAGATATTTTTCCATTAGAAAGCTTACCTCATGTCGATTACTTGGCTGACTATAACACTGGGTTGAGAGGCCTTTCCTTCAGCAATTTCATACAGAAAGAGTTTGAAATCACAAACTACAGCCAAAGCTCTTTGCCATCCTTTCTTCACTCCAGCTGGTTTAGGGATCTTCATTTTTTGATGTTAGAAATTAATAAACAAAAACAACTCAATTAAAATGTGTACCTGAGGCCCTGTAATTGCATACAGAAAACCGAAAGATAACATACTCAGAATGTAAATCTGCCCTTTATTAGTAAAATATAAATAAAACACATATATTTATTAGTATTTTGTTCCAATTTTAGGGCTGGAGTGATAACACAGCAGGTAGGGCATTTGTCTTGCAGGCAGCTGACCCAGGTTCGATTTCTCTGTCCCTCTCGAAGAGTCCGGCAAGCTACCGAGAGTATCCCGCTTGCATGGCAGAGCCTGGTAAACTCCCGTGATGTATTCAATATGCCAAAAACAGTAACAACTAGTCTCACAATGGAGACGTTTCTGGTGCCCATTTGAGCAAATCGATGAACAATGGGAGGATAGCGCTACAGTGCTATATTTATTAATAATATATGAGAAAATGTGAGAATACCCTTTTTGTGACACTGAATGGCCTTTAAATGGTGCCAGGACTGCCCTGCATATATGAGAATTTGGGTTTGATCCTGACTCCTCCCCCAGAAAAGGTATTTTAATTTTAACTACTAAAGTAACACATAGATATCTATTTCTAAGTCGTAAAAAATACCATTCAAGGTACCTGTACAATTATATCTTGATAATGTCTCATATTTCATGGATAAGTCATTGTCCCACAAAAAAAACCAAGTGATAAAGACTAATTTGTGAAAATTTTAAGAAGTATGTTTATTGTAGACAGAAACAGAAAAATTTGTGATTCTAGAATTTATTTCCAGAGATTAGGTTTTTGCTTAAAAATACTATAATTTAAAAATATTATAATTTAGGACACACAGATGAACCTTGTAACTGAGCGGTTCTTGCCAGAAATGCCTCCAGACTTTGAATTAGACCACCTTCATCTGGACACCCTAGATAAAAAAAGGTGTCATCTTACCACCTATTCCCTGGGAAGCCTGACAGCTGCCATCTTCCAGATTTCATTGGAAACCCGGGTTTGGGCCAGCAGTGACGACACACACTGGGCCTCATACGATAGGAGAGCTGGTCCTTCTCCTCTCCCACCCCAACAGGACCCTGAAATGCTGCCCACGAATGGCCCCTGGGCTACTTATTAAGCTCCATAATGGTCATGATCCCAGAGATACACAAACAAATCTCAGAACTGAGCGGTTCTTTGCAGAAATCTCTTCAGACCTAATTATTAAAATGTTAGAATTCCAAGATTGTGTGGCCACGAGAGCAACATTAGACAATTTGAGCAGCTGTGCAACATCATATGCTATTCATAACCAGCAATAGATAGCAAATTCTCTAATGTTGCCTTTTCGGCAGGTCTCAGTGTTTGGGGAAAATTCCAAATAATAATGGTGGGACTGGTGTCAAAATAGTGAATGTAATCAAAGTATAGAGAGAGTAATGTGGAAATTATCTGCCACACTGGTAGGGGTAGGGGTGGGATGAGAGTGTACTGGGGTTTTGGTGGTGGAAAATGTGCACTGGTGAAGGGATGGGTGTTTGATCATTGTATGACCAAGACTCAAACACAAAAGCTTTGTAACTGTTCTCGCATGATTCAATAAATAAATTTAAAAAGTAATAAAAATTAAAAAAATTATAATTTAAAATTACTTGGGATGAAATTAAATTATTAAATATTCATCACCTAATTTTCTGTAAAGGTCCATGTTTGTAAGATGACTAAAATTTACTGTAACTCATTAGCAAACTATAGAAGATTCATTTAAGCTCTACACACTTCACACTTATACTTACCCTGACATGACCTTCATATGCTGTTCCTATTCCTTTCTGTGGATCTATACCCAGGGGACCTTTTGTCTGCTCAGGAGGCACTGGACAAGTTGTAGGAGCTTTGTTTACACAGGTTATATGACATGAGAATCCACACACTTTTGGAGGAAAGAAAAAGTTTAATAAAATTTCACTTTTCCAAAATGAAAATGCATTAAATACTCATTTCATACAAGTTACTATATTTGATGAACATTATCTTAATATTATTTTAAACAGGTGTTTTGTAATTTGTGGAGTTAATCCACTTGATTAACAGTAAGAATTTCAATGAGTTAAAAAAGGATTTCAACAAGAAAAAAAGGAATTTCGATAAGGAAAATTTTTTATTAGTCTAACATCAATATTCAATGTTAACATTAGTGATAATAAGTAAGTAAGTAAGTAAAGGCCCTCCCGTTGATCATCGATTTGCTCGAGCGGGCCCAGTAACGTCTCCATTGGAGACTTTGTTGTTACTGTGTCTGGCATATCGAATACTCTCGGTAGCTTGCCGGGCTCTCCAAGAGGGGCGGAGGAATCGAACTCTGGTCGGCCATGTTAGCTGCATGCAAGGCAAACGCCCTACCCGCTGTGCTATCGCTCCAGGGCTGGAGCGATAGCACAGTGGGTAGGGCGCTCGCCTTACAAGCGGCCAACATGGCCGACCCGAGATCGATTCCTCCGCCCCTCTCGGAGAGCCCGGCAAGCTACCGAGAGTATTGGATATGCCAGACACAGTAACAACAAAGTCTCCAATGGAGACGTTACTGGGCCCGCTCGAGTGATAATAATGAGAAACAAATAAAAAATTATGTGTAGTCTAATGGATAAAAGAGGGCTGATTTAACCTTGCCTGGGTCAGAGTTCATAGTAACAGTGCTGAAAATCAAACCCAGGCAGTCTGTCTCATAACTTACACACTTAAGTTCTACCAATATCACCATGACAACCTTTATCTGACATTCACATAAGTATCACTTGATATTCTAAGATAAAATGATAATCTACCAAGTTGATTGAGATTTGGTTGTTTGAGAATTAAAGGTTAAAATAATTAAAACAAACAAGCCTATTAGAAGGGATTACGGATTACACACTAAGACATCCTACTTAGACAATTTCTACTCTTAGGGTGGGCCCCAAAGAACATAGAGGAAAAATTGAGAGAGAAAATGAAGGGGTATCATTGTGAGACTAATACACAGTGGAAAATGGATTACATATTACCAGTAAAATACCATGAAACCACAAAGAGAAGACAAACTAAGTTTTAACCCCGCCCAAAACTATAAGAAAGCAGATATATTCAGTTATAAGTGGAGTGTCTAGCAAGTTATAATTTGTTTTATGGTATACTCTCATTTCCAAAGGGCAGTGAAAACAACAGATATTCTAACCAATTTCAATCAATCAGGAAAAAATAATCTTTAGAGGCTGTAAATACTATCAGACCATTTATGAAAGTTTGAGCACAGGCTTTATCAGACAGACATCTCCACAGCTTTATCACACAGATGTCAAAAGGTCTTAAGAAAAGACACAAACTTTCATGGTGTGTAGCTTGAAGGAAAGACAGAATGGGGAGACCTCAAAGTTTTCTATTCTAGGGACTGATCTAAAGTCTATTCTAGGGACTGATCTAAAGCCAGAATACTGACAAAAAGATTTAAAAATGTTATTTATAAGTACAAACTAAATTCCAATATAAGATAAGGTTAAAAAATATACAAAGTCTCTTCTTTGGTTTAAGACACAACTTACAACAGAAACAGGTAATCTGAGAAGGAACATTACTATTCCTCCTGAGATTACCTGTTTCTATTGTCTCCAGTCTCAAACTTACTCTTTTCACATATATGCACTTCCTTTTTGTATTTATCACTACAAACTCATAACTCTCACATCTCTACTTTTCAATTCTGATCCCTTCCTTTGACTCACATATCTAAATTTTTGACTCACATATCAGGCCACATATCTAATTTTTTTTTCTTTTTGAGTCACACTCGGTAATGCACAGGGGTTACTCCTGGTTCTGCACTCAGGAATTACTACTGGTGGTGCTCGGGGGACCATATGGAATGCTGGGAATCGCACTCAGGTCGGCCGCATGCAAGGTAAATGCCCTACCTGCTGAGCTATCACTCCAGCTCCTCTATATGTATTTATAAGATAATGTAATCCAGATCTTCTACTTTGGTTAAGTAACCAAACAATACATTGCCATAACAATACATATTCATGACCTTCTTATTTGAAGATTTTTAATATTTGAGATCTGAAGTTACAGGTGAACTATAGTATATTTTACAAAGAGAATACACACAGCTGAGAGTGGATGGTTACCTTTCCTTCTAATTTCCTTCTAACACTGCATTAAGACATGGAAAAGTTTTAAAGTTTGAAATAACTACCTTATTACTAGTATAAGGTATAGGAGTAAATTGCACATGAAGCACTGTTAATAAAAGTATCTCTCATTTGAAAAATATGTATTTCTAAAATAATATAATCTATATTAATTTAGATAATTTTCATTTCAGAAGTCCTAGGGGAAAAATACATTTTGTTTTCTACTCAAAGAAGCCCCTCAATCTCTCATCTTTCACATCAACTTCATGAGGGCCTTTTTCTTTACACCATCTAAGACTGAAACATGGAGCTAGCCTTCTACAAACACCCGAGGGATCAATGAAGGGCAGCAAGGAGTCTCTGCCACTAATACAAGCTATAAGATAAAAATTAAATGAATAAACTCAATGATAACTTTCATGTCTTCTGTCACATAGTTGATTTTTCAGGACTACAGATTTACCCTGAATAATGAAACAAGCATGAACAGCTTATATTTAACTATACATTCCCTGAAAAATGTTCTTAGGGACATCTGTCTGGATATACTAGGGACAAAAATGTTCCTAGGGACATCAGACATCTCCAATATACAACAGATTTTAGCAAGGTGTCCTGTTTAGTTTACTATCTCTAACACTTTTGTCCAAAAATGCAAATATGTAAGAAAAATTCACGTATACTTTATTTTTATTATCTGTAGTTATATTTTTTGTTTTAATGCATTAAGTAATCATAAACATTTTATATTTGAACAAAAAATTTGATTCTATAATGCACTGAGCTCTCTGGAAGCAGTACCCACTCTCATGCTGATTGTTTGACTTTCCAACTTTTGACCTAATTGCACATTTCAGGAATTAATCATATACACATGAAATTATATAGGATTTATTGGGGGATGACCCATCTCATTAGGTATACTATTCTTTTTCACAAAAGAATGTTCCCTTTTATAATGCAAATGTCAAATGTGTCTTCTGTACTTTTCCATAAAGAGATGAAGCCCAAATGCTCTTCAGTAACAAGGTCAGCCACTAATTCCCTGGCTTTCAGTCTGCTGTTTGCTGTCTGGGGACCTTTAAAAGGCAAAACAACAAGCAAACACTGTCTTCCCATTGTTCATCGATTTGCTCAAGCGAGCCCAGTGAGGCTTCTTGTTACTGTGTTTGGCATACTGAATACTCTTGGTAGCTTGCCAGGCTCTCTGAGAGGGGCAGAGGAATCGAACCTGGCTCGGCCAGGCTGGCTGCATGCAAGGCAAACGCCCTACCGCTGTGCTATCACTCCAGCCCTCTTTAAGCAAATAATACACCAACCTCACTCACAGCTATGGGTCTAACCATATCATCAGGATTCAAATAGAACTGACCATTTTATGTTGGAAACAAAGAACCAAAAGGATAAATGGAGATAGTTGTTACTCCCACTTTTCCTGATCATATATATTTTAAAGAGAATAAAGTTGTTAAATTACAATTTAGGGAGCTTATTATTTTGTTCTTACCTTCACAGGCACATCCCTGCCTTATCAAGCCCACCATCAGAGAAGTACACTGATGACATTTTGTAGGAGTAGTAAAAGACTTGACAAAAAACTGGTGAGTCTTGCGCTGCAAAATAAATTTAAAAAATATAATTAAAAACATTTTCTATGAGTCTCTATACCCCACAGCAGCAACTCAAATTATTTCTTAAATAGGAAATAAATAAATTATTTTAATTTATTACTACATCTTTCAATAACTCATGCTGCTTAATTATTTTTACTAGGGAATATTTGGCTAAATTATGCTAAAATAAAGTCAAATGTTTTTAAATGACATTTGATTTAACATATCAAAATGAACAAGCTTTGATGGCAAAATGAAATAGACATGGGTTCAAATGTCAACTCTACTTTTAACTGTATCAATGTTTACAAACGACTTCAGGATTTTAGCACGTCTTTTCAACATATTCTTTAATGAAGAGTTGAATGAAATTCTGTATATATATGCCTACATAAATAACAAAATTTAATACGCTTGTTCTTAAGAAGAACAAGAGTAATTTGAAATTTGCATCCTTGCTATAACTCATGTATCTTATTTTCTGAGACCAAGAACAAATAATATGGTTAACAAATCTGTTTCCTCCCATGGATTGGGCAGTACTGCACTTGACAAACACACAAACGTTGCAGAAACAGATGGCAGCTTAAAATTTCTTACTGAAAATAGTTATTAAAGTTCTCTAAGTCTTGTCTGATCTATATAATGTCAACCAACGCAGACTTTAGCTCTTGGCATACTTCCTTCCTCTAGCAAGTTTTAAAGTGACTGTGGTTCATTCTTGATACTGCATATAGTACCCCAAACACCGCTCCATCCCCCCACAACGCCCCCCCAAAAAACAACACCACCACCACAACAATAACAAAATACATTTAAAAGAACCTTAAGTAAATTTTAGATTTGAAAATTACAGTAATTAGAATTATAAAATTGTGATTGCATTTGTTCCCTTGACAAATGTAAAATACTGGATGTGTACATGCACAGGACACAAAGAGCCAAATACAGAGAGCACTGCAGAGTGTCCAGAGGACAGTGTTGGAAGTCAGGGGCCATGAGTTTCAAGGTCACTGAGATCTTGAGTTATCTAGCCTGCTGTATTCACAAAGACCTGGATGAAGTGGGGATTCCATGATATAAGAGGTATAAGAGGTGGGTGGGGTATGATACTCAGTGGATAACAGAGTGTACACAGCAGACAAGCAGGGAGGAGAGTCTGGCTAGCCTTGAACCTGCCAGGAAACATAGTAGGCAGTGGGGTCCCCACGTCAACTTAAAAGTGACATTTTCAGATGTGATTTATTTTCCTGGGAAATAATTATTCACATCATTTACCATTTTTTCAAATGGATTTCTAATAATTTTTTATGTGTTAGAGGGCTGGAGCAATAGCACAGCGGGTAGGGCATTTACTTGCACGCAGCAGACCTGGCAGACCCGGGTTCAATTCCTCCACCCCTCTAGGAGAGCCAGGCAAGCTACCAAGAGTATCTTGCCCCCGTGGCAAAGCTTGGCAAGCTGGCTGTGACATATTCGATATGCCAAACACAGTAACAAGTCTCACAATGGAGATGTTACTGGGCCCGCTCGAGCAAATCAATGAACAATGGGAGGACAGTGACAGTGACAGTGTTACAGGATTTCTTTCCTTTTCTAAAAATTAATCCTTACTGTTAGGTACTACAAATATCTGTTGTCTGAGTTATTCCTACTAACAATGCTTTCTTTGTTTGGACATCTTTAAATTCGATGAGCCAGAGAGATAGCTCAACATGTTGGGTGGATGCAAAGTAGGCTTTACATGCAGGTACCCGAGTTCTATCCCTGGAACTACAGGATTCCCTAAGAACTGAGTAAGGAGTCACCCTATATACTGCTGGGTGTGACCAAGAACCCCCCCCCAAAAAAAAAACTGATGGAATAAAGTTCACCAATATTTCCACCTTTTATTTGTGGTTCAATGTGAATTTTCACTGCAAAATGACAAATTCTCATGTATTTCTCCCATATATACGTTCTTATTTTTAAAAAAATCAATCTAATACATAAGAGGTAACATAGTGGTGGTGGGGTGCTGTAACTTTGTATATCAATGATATAAACTTGAACACTAATCATAATAAAATTACCTAAGCTATAATTTAAAAAACAAAAAAACATAGTTGAAGAGGTTGGATTTCCTCCATTTATATACTTAGTTCCTTTTTGAAAATTAGTTGACCACAGATCTGGGGAATTATCTTTGAATACTCTACTTTCAGAGAGTCTATCCTTATTCTAGTATCATGCTATTTTGATCACCATAGTTTACAGTATAATTTCAAGTTAGGTAATAAGATAACTACCAGTATCTTTTTTCTCAGTCTAGCTTTAGCTAGTCAGGGTGTGTGATATCATACAAACTTTGTTACTGACTGTCCTAAGTCCTTGAAGAATGTCATCAGAATCTGTATGGAGATTTCACTGAATCCTTATAACAATTTGAGTAGGACGATTATTTTGACATTATTGATTCTTCTAATCCATGAATACAAAATATTTTTTCATTTCCCAAGGTCATCTTTTATTTTCCAATTGTCTTTTCAAAAAAGTGACATAATTTTCAAGGCATAGATAATTCAATTCTTTTATTAAATTGATTCTTTAGGAACTTGATGTTTTTGGACAACATTTTGAACGGAGCAGACTCTGATCTCTTTCTCCTCTAGTTCATTATTTGCACATAGGTATGTGAAATTTTTGTATGTTAATTTCGTAGCTGTTTACTTTGTTGTTTTGAAAAGCCTCTTAGAGAACGTCAGGGTCTTTTGTGACGATTATGTCATCTGCAAATAGTGATAGTTTTACTTCTTTTCTAATTTACATCCCTTTGATTTCCTTTCTCACTCGTAGCACTGCACTGTCCTCCCATTGTTCATTGATTTGCTCGAGCGGGCCCAGTAATGTCTCCATTGTGAGACTTGTTGTTACTGTGTTTGGCATATAGAACACGTCATGGGAGCTTGCCAGGCTTTGCCGTGTGGGCAAGATACTCTCGGTAGCTTGCGGGGCTCTCTGAGAGGGGCGGAGGAATCGAACTCCGATCGGCCATGTTGGCAGCTTGCAAGGCAAACGCTGTGCTATCACTCCAGCCGATATCATTAAATTTTTTCTTTAGATTAAGACACTGTAGTTTACAAAGTTGTTCTGAATAGAGCTGTTTCAGACACAATGTTTCAAAACCAGCTGCACCACCAATATCCCTTTCTCTCCATGGTTCACCCCAGATTCTCTCGAACTCCTAGCCTTGGCAGGCATTTAACGAATTAATTTCATTTTACTTGCTCCAATAAAAATTAAGGGAATTAAAACAGAATTATCAGAAAATAAATCAGTAAAAGTCAATTTGTGATGATGAATTGCTCTGTTTTTAACTTTCTTCATCCAGCAGAAGACATCCATAAGCACCAATACTGAGTGCCATATCCAATGCCACATTATGGCACTGAGTTGGTCATCACAGGAAGTTTCTTGGGTCCTCTGAAGGAGCTCTTTTAATGTTTATTGCAAAACTGGTTTCAAGGTTATGAATTACCTAAGCTGTTGTCTTCAACTGAATTACCTAAACTGTTGATAGTTCCTCCAAATCTGAATGATAATCTAGTTGGAAAAGTAATCAAGGTGAAGTGTTCATTTTGTTTAGTTTTTGTACCATGTCCTTTCAGTCTTTTAGGTCAGAGGGTCTCATCTGATAGATCTTCTGAGTATCTTATGGGCTTTCCTTTGTGTGTACATTCCTTTTTTGATATTGCTGCTTTAAATATTCTGTACCTTTGGATTTTTTCATTTTGGGGGCTGGAGCGGGTAGGGCATTTGCCTTGCATGTGGCTGACCTGGATTCGATTCCTCTGTCCCTCTTGGAGAGCCCAGCAAACTACTGAGAGTATGGCGCCCACATGGCAGAGCCTGGCAAGCTCCCCATGGTGTATTTGATATGCCAAAAACAGTAACAAGAAGTCTCACAATGGAGACGTTACTGGTGGCCGCTTGAGCAAATCGATGAACAACGGGAGGACAGTGCAGTGCTACGAGTGAGAAATTTATTTATGGGTCTCTGAAGCAAGGTGAGTAGGAGAGCTTACAGGGTGGTGTTGGAGTTGGTTCGTGGGGGGTGATTGCCAGTGCTTCCATGAGTATTGGGAAGTGGAGTGGAGGCAGCCCATCCCAACTCGAAGAAAGTCTGGAGATTTCAGTCACAAAACCCTCATACCAGAATTTTCAACAGATTATATCTTGGTGAGGCCCATCCAGATATGGTGGATTCAGGCCATATGGTGGCGATTTTGGATTGTGGAAGCAAGTGGCTGCTGGGGTCTCTGCTTAGGTGGGCCAGCAGGCCAACCTGCCCCCTCCAATTTACCCCAGTCTCTTCAGCCATACATGGTTCCGAGATTGTGGCTTTTGATCTCTTTCGAGATTTTCTATAGGTCTCTGAAATAAGGCCAATTCAATAAATGAGCTTGTATAGTTGAGCCAGGGGTGGTATGTGGGCATGGATCCCACATATCTAACTTTTGGCCATTTAATTTCTTGGTAGACTTGGTCCCAAGTTGTTGGGGTCTGGCCAAAGGCACAGCAGCAATTTTGGGGTATCAGGAAGCCTGAAGGCACCATCAGGGTGCTGATGCACTCACCCTACAGGTACAGGTTGACCTGTTGGTGGCACCATACCGCTTCTACTGAGTTTTAAAATATCACCTACTATGTTCTTTATTTCTGTCATTCCTGTCTGTAGTTTTATATTTCAACTCTTATACTTTCTTGTGTTTGGATGACTGTGCTTTCATTTCTTTGAGCTCATTGATCATCCTCAGCACAGTTTCACTAAATTTGAGTATTTACTGTTGGTATTGTTTGTCTTCATTAGAAGAGAATGGCTTCCCCAAATAGAGACAGACCAGTCTTTGGTCGAGGGTTGAGAAGTCAACATGACAAATGAACTGGCACCTCAGTTGCTCAGGAGGAGGAGAGCAGCTTGGAACGCCTTCAAGCGCATCGAAGAAATAGCTAAGAGGATG